ATGTACATCTTATTTTTATAATAACTTGAGAATGATGAAATTGACGAAACCCAAATTGGATCTTAATTTATGTTTAGTGTTAAGGTAGATAGGGGGTCTTAATTAATATCCATAGAATTTTTTAATAATTTGTCAATATGTAGTTTATATCATGCTTTTTTCAAAAATATATTAAAAAGTATTGGTCACCAGGCTTATTTTTACGCTAAAGGTTGTGCAAAATTGTCAGATTTTGTATAGATTATGCAAGGAAAACACAATTTTGTGTGATAAAAATACTATTTCACCATAGAATTGTAGATAAAATATGAGAAGATAGCTCTAAAAATATGCTTTCAGATAAGAAAAATAAAAATGGGGTCACCGGACTCGTTTTCTTGCTACATAATAAAATAGGTAAATTCACAACACATTCTATTATAAAAGTTACTTTATCTGCGTTATCTCCCCTTCTATCTGAGTTATCTCCCCTTATGTGGCAAAGTTGAAAAAAAAATGAATCAATCAAAAGCATTCTGTTTTTTGTAAAATACAGCCGTAAATATGATAAAACACATAATTTTCTATAGTTATTTGAAAAGTCTTACACATGAATTACATACTACTCTCGAAATTTGCACATTTCATTAAAGATATAGACCGATTGTTATCTGCTATTTCAAAATCCAAGATGGAGGAAGACACCCCAGCTACCTTAATAAGCATTGTGTATAATATTTGGATGAGGCACAAAAAGGTTACAGAAATGAAATTATTAATTCAAGGACATACGGACAGACACACATACAGATGGACAAGGGTTAACCTCAACGACCCTTGCGCCTAGCTGCAGGGACATAAAAAGATAATGGAAAGTAATAGATGACTCACATTAGATAAAAATAGTCAAATGTATTCAACTAGCTAATAAAACCTAAAACTAGAGTTACATAAACGGCATTTTAAAAATATTAAGTTATCACACAGGACATATGGATGGAAACTCAATAAATACAGAGGTATTCTTTATTTTCATGAAAATGGTGAATACATTTTGTATTATGAAGTAATTGTGATGTCTTAATAAAAAGAAATCTTTGGTAATTCATTTATATTTATTGATCTTATGCATTTACAAACAAAATATGCAAACTTGAAACAGTTCTCAAAAACTTTATCTTCTTTGGCCAAAGACAGTCCTAATGCCCTACCTCCTTTACATTTTGTCTCTTCGAATTCAATTTGACTGCGCTCTAACAATGGCTTAAATAGACAGATAACAAAAAAGTTTCTTTTTTATAATAACTTAAGTCTGAATTAGATGAGTTTTCCTTCTTTTATCTATAAAAATCATTCCTATTATTTCATTGTTGTAGTCCTTACTGCTTCAGAGGGTCCGAGTACACAGTTATTTCGTAGTGCATTTCTTTTAGACAATAAATGAAAATTAAAAAAATCCCACCTGCGCTTTCTCAATAATATTTTTACAGTGTGTTGTACTGCTTTTGGGACAAATTATATCAAAATTATAGAAAACTTCATCGGCTCTAACTCAAAATATGGACAATTTCATGTTAAGGGGGTCTTCAAATCTTTTGACAGCTTCCGAAGTGCTAATTTTTAACATTTTTCAGCTGGACCAAATCACTACTTTACTTTAAAATTCATGACCCAATTTTTTTTACAGTGTCATTTCACCCCCCTACTTACTATTTGAGTCATAAAACATGGAGAAATAAATTTGGAAGGGGTATAAAAAAAATCGACAAGTAACACACTGTCCACACTAGGGACTATATTCGTGGACAACGAAAATCAAAGGACGATAACTGTGTACCCGGACCTAATAGGGTGGAAAAAGTTGACCAATCTTAATGAAACTTGGTATGACCAAAGCTTATTAAATTATAAGACTGCTTACAAAGTTTCATGGCAATAGGATATATATTATAGACAATATGACTAATTCTATATTCAACTTTGCGTGTTAAATTTAGACGTTAAAATTGAAAATTTTCAACTATCAACATTTGGGGTTTAAAAAATTAAAATATTGCAAAAAAATACTTTTGAAATGCCTTAATATATAATATATTATGTATTAAAAGCAGTAGAGTACTCATTTGATTTATCAGACTTATCATAATTATTAAAAAGTCAAATTTATATGAGCCTGTGGCTAAAAATGGAGGTTTTCCAATGAAGGGGGGCCTTACATGAAGATGTAATATTTTCCAGCAATTTTAAATTTGTAAAGCTTTTTGGTTATAAATAATCCTTACATATGTATTTAATGTACTTTAAATGGAAAGAAAACTTACAAATAACATATCACATTAGTTTAAAAGGGTCTTAGGCCAAGTAAAACTGAAAATAATTTAGGGTCAATTTAGGCCGTATCACATATTTACATTTAAAAATGCATATTGAAGCTATAGGAAATAAAATTTTGTGTCCTTTCTATCATTTCTATACTCAGGTGACATGATACAATAAATCTGAGCACAAAAAGACTCTTGCATTCAACTTTTTTTGCAGACAGTATGGTCTGATACAAAGATTTTTCACTTTTTAGTGAAAAACATGCATGCAATTTTAGTCTCAACAGGCTTATATTTGAACCACTTGCTATCCTACAGAAGAAAAGAAAGATATTATGTGACATAAAACAGGTACAAAAGACATTGTTAAGTGCTTTTTATACAAATTTAGTGAGGTCTTTATAATGGACTTCAACTTTTATGTTCCAAGCTCCTCACATTTAACTTGATCCAAACAGGGCGTTAGACGAGGATTATATATACAACACATTTTGCACATATTGTCTGAGATAATCTTCTTTTCTGTAGATTCAGAGTTCACAAATGAGTAATACAACTGGATTGAAGCATAGAAACACAAATATTGACACATAAAAACCTGTCAGATAGAAAGTCAGAATGCCACTTATGCATCAAAATTGAAAAAGCTATGAAATGCTTATTTTGACCATAAAATGCCAAAATTGGTCATTTTTGCAGAAATTCTATCAAATAAAAGTTTAAATCCTTTAGTTTTATGCTATTTGATAAATTGACACCATCAAATCATTCAGGGAAGTTGCCAAAGTACAGATTCTATATTTCCTGATTTCACCTCTTAGGTCCGAGTACACAGTTATTTCGTAGTGCATTTCTTTTAGACAATAAATGAAAATTAAAAAAATCCCACCTGCGCTTTCTCAATAATATTTTTACAGTGTGTTGTACTGCTTTTGGGACAAATTATATCAAAATTATAGAAAACTTCATCGGCTCTAACTCAAAATATGGACAATTTCATGTTAAGGGGGTCTTCAAATCTTTTGACAGCTTCCGAAGTGCTAATTTTTAACATTTTTCAGCTGGACCAAATCACTACTTTACTTTAAAATTCATGACCCAATTTTTTTTACAGTGTCATTTCACCCCCCTACTTACTATTTGAGTCATAAAACATGGAGAAATAAATTTGGAAGGGGTATAAAAAAAATCGACAAGTAACACACTGTCCACACTAGGGACTATATTCGTGGACAACGAAAATCAAAGGACGATAACTGTGTACCCGGACCAGAGATGTATAGGCCTCAACAGGAGCAACTGAAATTCCTTGCCAGATTTGTTATGGTCTGCAAATTATAAAAACAAAAATACCAAGGACCACACAGTTAGGTATACACATGAGGGAACAATTTAAAAAAAAAAAATATAGGACATATCGTCGCTGCGCTTCCAAAATGTCGTATATGACTTTTTTGGCTAAAACTACTTTTTGACACATATCGTCTTGGCGGAAGGAAATCTTTGATTTCCAAAATAGCATACAGTTAAACCAATCAAAACATTTAAAATAAGACATGTTACAAAATTGCCAATTTCAGTTGTTTGTAAAGTTTGCTTCCAAAATATGGTATGTAAACTTGAAAATTGTTGTATAATGGCTTTGGGAATCAAATTCTTGCACATTTCTTTATTTCTGTGAAAATAAATAAGTTTTTGGGTAATCCAGAAATTTCAAAGTTTTTATTTCACCGCCATTTAGAAAAATGTTCAAGTTCACATACGACATTTTGGAAGCATGCATTTCCACCAAATTTTCAAAGCCTGTTTGTGAGATATTTTTTTATTGAAAAAATAGTAATTTACAATATTTTGGAAGCCCAGCGACGATATATGGTATGGCACAAAAAATCTATAATCATGTTCCTTGTACTAGTGTTTAATTTAAAATTGTATTCTTAACTTATATTCCCTTTATCAAATACAATGAATCCATCAAAAAAAATTCTGCAAATTTTGTTTCCTGAAAACTCCCAGAAGGCTTATGTAAAGATTGGAACTTTATGTAAAGCATGGTTCCTTAACAACCTCAAGACCCAAATGTCAAAAATCTATCATAGGTCATATCCCAAAAATTTTGGTGTTGTTCATTGTCATGTATTCATTGTTTTAAGCTTAGGATTTTACTGGTGAATCTGTCTTTAGCTATTCTCATTTTGGCAATTGCTAACATTGTCTATATTTTTTTGCATTTTGGTTTTCTTTTAATATACCGGTATTACTATAATTCATTATAATTAAAAAAAAATTTAAAAGTGGACAACAAACAAGTGAAACTGTGAGCTAATGCTCACTGATGATACCCCCCCCCAAATATGCATTTGGAATATTTAAACCATGTGTAAAATGATGTAAGTGTTTGGTAAACAGGAAGTTGTTGAGTGATGAATCTGAAAATGCATCACACGGTATAGCTGACTTACATAAACTCTGAAACCAAATTTCAGAAATCCTTATGGTGTAGTTCCTGAGAAAGATGCGACGAAAAATATTCATGGGACGGATGGACGGACTGACGGATGGACGGACAGATGGATGGACAGGCAGAGGTAAAACAGTATACCCCCACTTTTTTAAAGAAGGGGTATAAATATGTTCCTCTGCTTTAGGTTTTGTCAAGTGTGTTCTGTTACTTTTTGTCACAAATCAATACACCAACTGTAATGGTTCTCATCAATTTTATTTTGATAACGGAACAAGTTCATACAATACATACTGGTAACAGTTCACAAATTTAAAAGGCATATTAAAAACAATAAATATAAAATCTTATTATTAAAATTTTACATAAAAAATAAGTCTGTAAAAGTTTTAAATTAAAAATATCAAAACAGTTTTCCTTTACCCATGTCTGCATAAAAAAATTCAGCCTACCATAATGTACTGAATTTCCTTGTTTAAAGCACACCTTATAACTGGCTATAATTAATGATGATGTAATAATCAACACACATCATAATCTGCTGTATACATTAAAAAAATCCACTGTATTGTAAGGACAGTTGGAACTGCAGACAAAAATCTGCTGTACAAGATAACAAATACAATTGTTTTATGGCAATTGGGAACACAGATCCTATTGTATCTGTTATAATGATAGTCAGAAATAGGGTGTGTTTAAATTCTGCTCAGGGGCGGATTCAAGCGGGGGCGTGGTGGGCGTGCGCCCCCCTAAAATTTGCAAAGCATGGGTTGTCCCCACTTAATAAAGAAAATTTCAATAATTTCACTCAAAAATTTAAGTTTGCGCCCACCCTCTACCTAAATTCCTGGATCTGCCCCTGCTGCTCTCTTATAATTTGAAGATAAATTTTACTATTTTTCATATATAAGAATTTAAAAAAAATTTTTAGGTAATTTTTATGGTGATTTAATATCTTAAGAAAAACACATTAAAATTGCGTAAAGCCACAAGATGTTCAATTTAACACTCTATACCGATTAAAATGATAACTGCAGCAAAATGGTAGACGATTATTTAGGGGGGAAAACACTGACTGTGACTGACATGTTTATAAATGAGATTGAAACTACCTGTGTGCTAATAACATTTAAAAGCACATTTCTAGGATTCATATGAAAGGTGAGATGTACCAAGGACATATATTGGCAACACTGTGTGGGTTTATAGTATGTATAAAATGGGGAAACAGAGAAATTCATTATGTACCAGTATATATTTAAAGTGAAAGTCAATCATCCTGTACCACAGATGTTGACCCTTTTAGATAAAATTTAAACTAAAATTCTACAATGGTGTACCATAAAACAGCTCTGTTAATCATCATTATAAACATATCAAATATTAGCTCAAGATCTGCCGCACAAGTCCGGAAAAGTAAAATTTTCATGAAATTCTGTGTAAGGTCCTTTATTCCATGAAAATTAGGTCAAATCTAATAAAACACAAACTACTTCATCTGAAGGTCACCATTATACAATAACGTACTCCTAATCAACTCCAGATATACAGGCATTACAAAACTGACATGAACTAGATTCCACAAAAAATAGGTCAACAGGAATGAAGGAAGGACAGAATGACAAACATAGATACCATGGACAAGCAATGCCAACTTAATATTGGTTTGGCTATAAAATAAAATACCCTAAAAGTTTAAGACAGACATGGATAAAAACTTACTTATTAAATTAAATTGGCCTAATCTGAAAATTAAGTATTCATTCTTCTGTTTCAATGTAAAATTATACAAAATATACACTTTTAAAAAGATGTCTTCCTGCAATATAAAAATACAATCTGGTCACACAATCATATATTAATCACTTCAATTCATAAATATTCACAAAAATGTTGGCATTTAAAATGATGTAAACATGAAAATGATAAATCACAAAAAAATAAAAACACTTATAAATGATTACCACAATAAATTAAATTAATCATCCATTAACAAATAAAATTTCACAAAAAAATGAATTTTAAACATGCATCTTCATTACTATATATATTATCAGATGCAACAGTTTATATCAATAACACTTTCTGCACAAACATAGACATAAAATTTTAAGTAAGTAAATTAAAATCTAAAGAACAAAGTATGATAAGCCCATTCGAAAATCAAAAATTATTTTAAATCTACCACTTAACATACTTCATATGTTTATAAGACACTAGACTTTTAATCTTTAAATTTTGTCTTACATATTTCAATAGACCTTATCGCTATTTGGAAATCTGAGCCGCTTGACCAAAAAATCTTCGCCTCTTGAACTATTAACGTCATACACCATACCTTTTCCATTGTGGCGTCAGATATTTTCTATTATGACGTCAAAATTTTACGGGACCTTTGTGATGTCTAGTAATGGCGGACAAATAGTGATAAGGAATATTAGGACTTCAAACTTCCTTCATTTCCGAAAAAGTTACGCTGTTAGTAAAATGTTTACTAAAACAGGTATTTTTGAAAAAAGATTGAATTTTGATTCTGTGGGATAATTGTCTTATTGGCAATATTGCTTTAAGATGAATTTACAAAGATGCAAATGTATGTAAAATATCTTTTTGGGTAAGGATGTTGCTCATACCAGTTCTAACCAAAAACTATATGTAAAATAGTCATTTCAGGTCAAATATATCAATTTCGACATGTTTATGACATCATAGCCATTTCATAAGTGACCTTTCTGCATCAAAATGTCCATATTATATCAGCATGTTCATTTATCAATAACATTAACATAATTTTTGTTATTTCAGGGGCCAAATAATGGCTCTATTATCATACATCCTGAGGAAATGTTAAATCAAAAAAAATAATAAATAAACCATAATTAGTCATTGACAAAAGATTATGTTAATAAATATAGAAATCAATCTACATAAACAAACAAAATTTACAAATCTCAACTACAAACGAAACACTGCCTCCTTATTTTATATAACATAAATTATATGTTTCTATTACTTAAGTATTTGTGCTTTTAAAGGAATCATTAAAACAAAAGTCATTAAATTATCAAAATTAACACCCATGAAGAAAGATTCAACAATTACAAATGTACTAAATAACAAAATGTTATACCCATTTCGCAAAAGAATATCTGTGGTGACATTTAGCATTGTCTAACCGTAGGAGTCTGGGTTTTGATGTTTAACTGTCACCATATCGATTGCCCCCTGCAACAGTAGAACTACATGACTAGAATGCATTTGGTGTAGGACATTTTAGCGAAAATAATCAAACGTTTTAGCGCTAAAGTATAACCCAGTTTAGTGCAAGATTTTTAACCCATTTTAGTGAAAAATAAAATTTATCATTGCCATTTTAGTGCCAGAAATTACTTTATATACCCTAGTATCAAAATTGCACAATATAAAAACGCAATTTCCGTAAAATACAGCAGTAAATGTCTAAAAAGTTAGCTCAAATGTTACCTGGAATTTATATCCCAGTGAGCGTACGTAATGGGCTCTTGATATACCCCTTGCATATTTATGTTTCAATGTAGCTCAATAAGGATAATAAAAATGTCTTTTATCATCCAATGTCAATTTATCATTATTTATCTAAACTGGGTATTTGTAGCTACAGTTGGCATTGTGTTGTGAGAAAATATTATTATTACTGTTACTTTGTGTAAAAAATTAAATATGAATCCTTGTGCATGATGATCCATTCCCGTAGTACAACTTCCACATCAAAATTCTTAACTGCTTAATAAACCTCGCATTTTGACTTACCCGGTAAATAATAAGATAAGGTATTATTTTTTTTTTTTAATATGAAGTGGTTTATTTCCCATAAAAAAGCAAGCAAATCATACTGATCAAAGAAGGCCTGAGTATCCTAAATAAAGAAAAAGTTTAATGCAGTTCAGTCTGCAACTAGATCAAATCCTTGAGTTTGATAGTTTTATATTACAAACAAGTGAATGGAGATCTGTAAATACAAAGTAATGCTGAAATGGTTATTATAAACATGATAAACATGGTAGCATAAAATGTATATATTAATATCAAATATGAGTCTATTTCATGTTTTTTTAAGCAACAGTTAATTACAAAATAGTTTTCAATAGATTGATTTGTATATCAATAGGTAAGACACTAAATGAAATTAGTAAATTAAAATCTGACTCTTAAATCCAATTTGTTTGCACTGATTATCAGTAGCTTATATTTGGCATAAAATTCTTATATGAATGTCCTCAGGAAGACTTCTTATTGAATATTTGAACTGCAACAATAAAAGATATCAATAGATACACAATATAAAAAGACCATTTACCTTCAAAAACTACTGATTGTAAGATTTTATCTGGTATTGATTGTTTTAGCAGTGGACAAAATCTAACTACTGTAGATGCATTTCTTTTCAATTATTACCAATTTTCATTAATTGAGGAAAAATGGTATTTTTGTTGAAATTTGATTTTATGGTTTTGCAAAAGTTTATATAGAGACTAAGCCTAAAGACAATTTATACTTTGTTGAAAATTCAAATTAGGGGTTCCCTTTATACACTTAATCACCAAAATTGATACTCCACAAAAAATTTGAATCCACTGTATACAGGTTTCACAAAACACATTTTTTGACCATATGGTATAAAGTTGTTTCTAACACATAATTATCATTAACAACATTTTATTGTTTTTTAAACATAATTTGGACAATTTCTAACCAAAACAAAAGCAATAAAAACTTGTTTCATATTGCAACAGAATGGGAGATAACTCACTCAGTATTGTATTTTAAATTTTGGAGACATAAATGATTGTAGTAATCAATAGTTCCTGAGTGTAGATAAGTGTAAATCCTGAATTCCAGCATATTTAAAAACAAAATCCTGACATCCCCAAAAAGTCCTTCTGCCCCTCTGATTACATAGCACTGCTATGCATAACTATAACAATGGAAACTCAATATGAGACAACCAAATCCATCAACAAAGTTTAAAATACAATACACTTTTCTCTTAAATTTAACACCCCTTCTATAGAATCTATAGATCTCTATATCAGCTGAAGTTGAACTAGCCAGGGCTAGCAGAATCATACTGTAAATTCAGAAATTATTGCCAGGTTTTTATTAATGCGAATAATGCGACTGAATTAGTATCGCAATAATAAAAACTTGAATTCATATATATCTGATGGATAATAACTGTATGCTGATTTTCCTGAAATCGCAATAATTAATCTCGCATTTTAGTCCATTCTACAAAGTTAAAAAAAATAAGTGCATGCAATAATTTCTGAATTTACAGTAACAATAAGTTTAAAATCTGAATCTAATCTAGATCTTTAGTTGATTTTGAAATATCTTTCTGGTACTGAGATTATTGTCAATTTATACAAGAAGCTCTTAATAACCAAAAATATTAGTGGTATTAATACCATTTCTTCCAATGTGGTTATGGTTCCAGAATGATTCAATAATGTCTTCTATAAAGGTATCCCACTTGTATTTCCAAAGATTCATAGCGTTACTCTTTTCTTGTGGGGTCATGGCACTATACCTAAAATCATTTTTAAAAACAAATGCAATTAGAGATTTTGTTTTGAATGGCTTGATATAAAATATGGCAAAGTCAGTACTTGTTATCTGCCACTGAAACTTCTATACATGTATTTCATAAAGATTAATATCTATTTCTTTCATTGTTGGGTGCTTTTATATAACACTCAGCCATGTAGTTAAAAATAACTAAAACTGTCTCCTAAACTGGGCTAATACCCCCAACATCCTGGATTGATGTTTGAGTATGCTATTGACTGAAATACAGGGTATCAAAGAAGATGATGATAGTACAAAGTTGCACTTTTTTCTAGTTTTTTTATTTGATGTTGTCGGACATGCATTTTTGTAAATCAGATTCAAACAATCTACCAAGTTTCATAAAGTTATAATCAACCATTATTGAGGAGTAACAAGCACAATGTAGGAGCTGGAGTGCTGGACACAGGGACCAACATTTTCTAGGTTTAATGTGGCATCCCTCTAGAAAACTTGAAGGACAGGAGCATCCTACTTACATGTACATCTGTATATTTGAAATAATAAAACAACAAAACTTGAAGGACTGGAGCATCCTACTTACATGTACACCTGTATATTTGAAATTAAAGAACCTTAGTGAGCGCGCTCACATACCCCACGTCCCCACATTGTCACTGGAGAAATAAAATAACAGTAAGAAAAAAAAATTGTATAAGAAAAAAAATTGAATCATAATTTCCTATCAATATGCACATCTACGTAGTATGTCCTTATTATCTACAAAGGTTTCATGAAATTCTGTTGTGTGGTTTCAGAGGAGTTGCGATGACAAACTGTTGCAGTAGTATATTGAAGCAAATAAGTTCAAAGGGCATAACTCTTAGAAAAAAAATTGAATCGTAATTTCCTGTCGATATGCACATCTGCATAGTATGTCCTTATTATCTAAAAAGGTTTCATGAAATTCTGTTGTGTGGTTTCAGAGGAGTTGGGATGACAAACTGTTGCAGTAGAATATTGAAGCAAATAAGTTCAAAGGGGCATAACTCCTAGAAAAAAAATTGAATCGTAATTTCCTGTCCATATGCACATCTACATAGTATGTCCTTATTATCTAAAAATGTTTCATGCAATTCTGTTGTGTGGTTTCAGAGGAGTTGCGATGACAAACTGTTGCAGTAGTATATTGAAGCAAATAAGTTCAAAGGGGCATAACTCCTAGAAAAAAAATTGAATCGTAATTTCCTGTCGATATGCACATCTGCATAGTATGTCCTTATTATCTAAAAAGGTTTCATGAAATTCTGTTGTCTGGTTTCAGAGGAGTTGCGATGACAAACTGTTGCAGTAGTATATTGAAGCAAATAAGTTCAAAGGGGCTTAACTCCTAGAAAAAAAATTGAATCGTAATTTCCTGTCGATATGCACATCTACGTAGTATGTCCTTATTATCTGAAAAGGTTTCATGAAATTCTGTAGTGTGGTTTGAGAGGAGTTGCGATGACAAGAAACAGGACTGACGGACGTACAGACGGGTCAAAAACATTATACCCTCCGCAACTCGTTGCTCGGGGTATAATAATAAAACAACAAAACATGAAGGAGTTACAATGACAAGAGGAGTGCTGGACAGGGCAGAGAAACTTTAAGTTGAAAGGTGCATAACTTCAAAAAAATATACTTGACAGAAGCATTTTACCCACATGCACACCTGTGTATTATGATCTAACAACATACCAAGTTTAGTGAAGATATAATAAAATATGTAGGAGAAGTTCCAATGACAAAGTAGGAGCTTGACAAGGCAAAAATGTCTAAGTGGAAAGGGGCATAACTCATAACAAAATTCAATCTGACAGAAACATGTCAAACTTTGTTGCTGTATATCATATTTGTTTTATGTTTATTGTTTTGTACATAAATCAGGCAGTTAGTTTTCTCATTTGAATTGTTTTACATTTGTCATTTCAGGGCCTTTTGTAGCTTACTATGCGTATGGGTTTTGCACATTGCTGAAGGCCCAAATGTGACCTATAGTTGCTAACTTCTATGTCATTTGGTCTCTGGTGGAGAGTTGTCTCATTGGCAATCATACCACATCTTCTTATTTTAATATTTTGATTAAACTTACTGTAATGAGTTTATTGCTAACTGTTTCAGGAATTTAAGATCAGCATCTTCACCAGCCATTCCCATAAAGGCCATGTAGAAGTCATATGACAGTCCAATGGCTCCCCACACAGACGGGTCATCTGCACTTATAACTACTGGGCAACCGTCTGCTATCAGGCTGGCAGCTGGATGGTTTCTTAAATCATTTAGTAACATTAATACCTATAAATTCAAATAAATAAATTATTTCTGCAATCATATAATATTTTAATAAGACCATTTGATAAAAAGAAAACTTCCAAATATAAAAAATGCAAGTTAAAGTCACCATGACCTGTCTTTGATGTGTGACACACAGGCTTCCCATGATGCATCTGCATACCAAGTTTGACTTACTTAAGTTTTATAGTAAAACAGTTATGCGCTGGACACAAATCAGACAAGATTTTACTATCATAGGGGTCAAATGTCAAAGTCAAGGTCACAGTGACCTAATTTTGGTAAGTGACACACTGCCTTCGCACAATGCATCTACATACCAAGATTGGTTCTACAGTACAACAGCTATGCCCCAGATACAAAGAAGAACAGACTGACTGAGAGACTGACAGACAAATGGACAAGGTGAATCCTATATCATGTATATGACTCCTCAAACTTTGTGTGCAGGGGTATAAGGCATAATTGTACTTTCAGAGTTTTCTGTTTCAGAGATATTCTGTTTTCACAATGACATATAGTAGTATTATACTTAGCAAATTTAAAAGAAATTGCTCAAAAATGCTTATTTTGGAACAGACTTCAGAAATAATTTTTTGTCATTCTTTTCACAATTTTAAGTATTTAATTTGATAGCGCTGCAAAACAGTCAACAATTCAACCAATATTCTTTAAACAAATGACATCTTATATAAAAAAAAAAGAAAAGTGTAAATGTAGAATAATGTACAAGAAGAGAGTATGTACAATTGAGGCATCATGTAAAAGGATCACAGATGGTAAAGCCAGTGATTGGTCCCATTTGATAAAAAAATTTAATTATTTTCATTTCAATATATACACCTGGAAAAAAGTATTGCAACACCTGATTTTTTCCATTAGACAAATTTCAAACCTTACGTGTACCATTTTTTTCTAAAATATGGTTAAATGTTCATAGGTTTGGGGTGAATTGGGTCTTTTTAAAGCTGATAGACATGTTAAACACTGAAAAATTCAAATTTAATTATACGAAATTTTATTTTAAAAAAGACATCATTTTTGAGCACAAATGCACTGTTTACAACTATTGGTCTACGCGATTCCAATTCCATCGGACAACTTCGAGTTGATGTCAAACACACCCATTTTGGTCCATTTTGTCAATTTAAACCGGAAATTTCAATATTTTGTATAACTTCCGTTCACACGGATCACTGCTTCCAGCCGCCTTCTCATACCACCACATAACCGTCGTATTTGTTGTTGTGTTAACTGCTGCCATTCATGGTGCAGTGCATTGTCCAATTCTGCAAGATTTTGCACAGGAGGTGTCATTTTTCGCACTTTTAGACCGATGATGTCCCAAATGTGCTCTATCGGGTTTAAATCGGGGCTACATGCTGGCCAGGGCAATGTCTCCACTGACTCGTCGTGAAGATACGCTGTTACAGCCCGCGATCGATGCGGTCGTGCATTATCGTCCATGAAAATGGGCCTTGTCCTCAACGGGTGATTGTCAAAATGCGGCACTACACTTGCCTCAAGAATTTCCTGCTGGTATCTTTGCCCATTAAGGTTACCACGAACAGTTTTCAGATCCAACTTGCAGTCATAAGACACGCATCCCCACACCATAACGGAGCCACCACCGAAAGCGACTGTCTCAACAATGTTCCTTTCGGCATATGCGGTATTTGGCTGCCGCCAAACACGAACTCGGCCATCCGTGACATGCAACAAAAATCTGCTTTCGTCGGACCAATGCACCCTTCTCCAAGATACCAAATTCCAGCGACGACGAGCTCGACACCACCGTAATCGTTCAGCTTTGTGTCTAGGCGTTAACAATGGCCTTTTCACGGGCCTTCGGGAACAGTATCCTGCCCTTTTGAGTCGATTTCTCAAAGTTCTTGAGGAGAGTGCACGATATGGAAACCACTGTCTTTTCAATACTGTACTGTTAATGAAGGGGTTTCTTCGAATAACTCGGCTAAGAGCTCTGTTTTCACGATCGGAAGTTACTGAAGGTCTTCCAGATCTGGGAAGGTCCTTCACAGAATTGGTATTTTGATGTTTACTTACAATTCTGCTGATGGTTGAATAGTGGTGGCCCACGCGTCGGGCAATCTGCCTTAACGACATTCCAGCTTCTCGCATGCCAATAATTTGCCATCTAACATCAGTAGAAAGTTGAGGAGGACCCATTTCATCAATTGTTGATAAGTTTTTTACAAACAAGCTAACATACAGCATACATTTTGACCCGTACCTTAAACTTGACTTTTGAAAGTTTTAAGTGACGGCCACGCACGGACAGCTCATGGGGAAATGCATTGGCGAAAAACAGTTAATTTAAGGTCAATAAGTAGGAAAGGTGTACTCTATCAGATAAATAAAAATGAAAATAAAAAAATTGAAATTTCAGTTTTTTATTTCATTTTATATTTGGTGTTGCAATACTTTTTTCCAGGTGTATGATATGACAAGTATAATGTTAGACTTAGGAAGTGTTATATATCTAATTCATCTAATATGAGTTATTTTCTTGGATGTCTACAAACTTTTCTTTTCAAACATTTATTTTAAAATTAATATGTGTCTTAAATACCTAAAAATGTAATATTTGTTGAAAAAAATGAATCATGCAGCCACATTTAATTTTAGAAATAGCATGTTTGTTATTTGAAGCTTAATAGTATTAACTAACCTGGTTAGATATAGGGTTCACTTCAATGGCAATTTGTTTCTGTTTTACTGTCTGTAGAACTTTTGGGTGTTTAGTCAGAGCATACCCATGACCAATTCTTGATGTATTCAACAAAACTGCATCAATCAGGTTATCATCAGTGGGTGTTCCTTCCCAAACTATTGAGAAAGGCAATACATAAAATGATAGACAATGCTGACATCTTAATAAATTACGTATTCATAAAGGGACAATAATCCAACAACACATAAAAGACATTTAGAAGTCAATATACTTGTATTGATTAATATGCAGAATGAATTTGATAGAAAACCAATGCTGTTCTTAAAAAGATTAAATAAATTACGTATTCATAAAGAAGATGTTGGGACAACAATCCAACAACACATAAAAGATTAAATAGAGTTGTTCGGATGTTTTGACATATATTTTTTCTAGTTATACTGTAATACTGTTTCTCTAATTCTGTGGCAATTTAACCCTTTCGGGACCTATTGTATAAAAAGATTTAATCAACGTGTGGTTGCCGTATATCTCAAAAGATGATTGGATGAGTTTAAGGGTCATAACCTTTATCACCTCACAAGATGAATCAAACTATGCTAACAGGTGTTAATGAAATTGACAACTTTGTGGAATGTGGATTGATTGATTGATTGTTGGTTGCTTAACGTCCATTGGCAAATATTTCATGCATATTCAGGACGAGTGGAATGTGGAAGGCACTCGAAAAATGAAAATTTATTTGATAATCATTAGAGAAACAGATTCTTACATGGTTACTCTTGGATTATAAGATTTATCCAATCTCAATAGTTCAATTATCAATTTTAAAGTCCTCACCAAGGCTTGAACTTTAAATTTTGATCTCGATTGGATAAATACAATAAACCACTGGTACCAATGTAAGAATTGTTATTTAAGCTTTAAGTTCAGATTGCTAAAAAATGGTTAAACAGGCATATCTTTGATAGACTCTGTTAAATTTTGTTCCAGAGGTGATTTATAGCTTCTTATTTATTCTGTATAGACACTTCTCCATTATCTAAAATCTATTGTTGACCTTAAAGTTCAGATTTACCAAAAACAAAGTTATACAATGCCACTAATGTTAACCTGACTATCTTATTAAACAAGGAACTAGGTCAGATGTTATCTTTGGTTATATCTTCATGTTTTTGTCCGTAAGGGAATTTCGTAATGAAGGCAGATCTTTGATAAGGTCTAAGGTTTAAGTTTGTTCCAAATTTAAGTTGAGGCAATTTAAAGCTTGAAATCTGAATTGTATAGACATTTTCTGTTTTCTGCTCTTTGGTCGGGTTGTTGTCTCTTTGACACATTCGAAATTCCCCGTTTCCATTCTCAATTTTTTTTGTCTATTATTTATGACAGATTGTTGACCAATACATGTCTTCTAATTTTTTGTGTCGTTGGGTTATTCACTGGTGTTAAACTGATAATCCTAACTGGAATTACGACGATCTCAATATGGCGACGGCAGAAATAGGTAAAATCTATTCAGTCATTTTTCTCAAATGTAGCATGTTGTTGTCAAGAGTTAATCAGCTGCAAGGTTTTTCTATACTATTACCATCATATTTGAATCGTAACGGTGTACTATAATTGTCTAAGCCCTTAGAAAATTGCCGTCGAAATATTCGGGATGATAATCGTAATTTGAAAAAAGGATAATCGTAATTCTGGTAGTAAAATATGAGAAGATAATCTTAACTGGATAGTTTTAGATTGATATTGACACTAAAAACGGCTATCTGATAGCATATGATGAAAATATGGGGATAACTTAATCACGAAAAAAATTACAACATCTTATGAAATTTCTTTTTGTGCATAATTATATGATTAATAGCTCTAATGTAAACAGCTACATATTAGTATATATCATAAAATTTGAAGGGGTAACAAGCTTCAGGAAATTTGGAAATGGGGAAACACGAACTATGTTAAAATACAGAAAACTCCAGGAACTAGGAATGTTAAAAAATATGGGAATGAGTGAAGAGGCAATTTTAAAGGAAGTTACACAAATGTATGAGGTATGGCAGTAATTGTCGGGCGAAACGTGCGTATATATAAAAAAGAAGATGTGGTATGATTGCAAATGAGACAACTCTCCACAAGAGACCAAATGATATAGAAATTAACAACTATAGGTCACTGTACGGCCTTCAACAATGAGCAAAGCCCATACCGCATAGTCAGCTATAAAAGGCCCCGAAATGACAATGTAAAACAATTCAAACAAGAAAACTAACAGGTTTCAGATTAGTGATTAATTATAAAAAAGAAGATGTGGTATGATTGCCAATGAGACAACTCTCCACAAGAGACCAAATGACACAAAAATTAACAACTGTAGGTCACCGTTCGTCCTATAAAAGGCCCCAAACTACACACGTAAAACAATTTCATGAGTACTATTGAATTGATTTTTTTTTTTTCATTTTGCGCAGAATTTTAGTATAAACATTCAGTTAATAGCACCCCCCCCCCCCCCCATTTACCTTCTTCAAATTTTTTGATCCCATCCACATACCTGTCAACCTATGACAATGAAAATGTAGGTGATGACCTGCATCTATAGAAGAATGAAATCTCAGGTCATAACGCGTACGAACTTTTTCGAGCTGAATTTCAGTATTTAGGGGACATTTTTCTTATAATTTATATCAAAGATTCCAAAACATGTCCACATGGTTCAGTAATTTAAAATTGAACATTTTATTATTACTTTGCACTTGGAAGCCATTGATAGATTTGTGTTACATTGCCTTTATTCCTGTTGATATTCAGTCCATGACATACAACGTACCAATTTGTGTTTTCTTTGCTTACAGTTGTGCAGCTTTTAAGCAATAGAACATGTCAGAGGTTGATATTAGAGTGTAATAAAATAAAGTTAAACAATTAAAGGAGGTATAGATGAAAAAAGTAATTTTCAAAATTTTTATTTTTTAATTGTTCTATGGTGAACAATAAGTAAAAGTATTATTCTGATATGTTTTTGCATTCAATTCATTTTAGATTTAATCTTTTTACAAAACAACACAAGTTTAAGGAGTATATTGTGAATTGACAAAAAAGGGGAAGTAACTCAAATTGTTTTTAAAACAACTTTGAAATACACAAATTATTTACGACCTAAAGCTAAGGTAATTGGTGTTAATTAACAGTGTGTTTGACACCAAAGCTGTCAAGTGAAGCCATGCACTGAAATGGGTCACTTGAGCTGAGTTAGGGTACACAGCTAGTTGAACTTCTTGTCCAGGAAGAATGACGAATTTGCCGGTATTTTAAAGAAATCAGTTTATCATATCCAGAAATCAACGCCACTTTGCTTATTTGAATATTATACTAAAGAAATCGGATACGGGTCACTGAAATTATATTGAAATGATAGGGAATTTTGAAAAAAAATGTCTGTTTTAACTTTAATTTAAGTGATAGACACTAGGTTGCGGGGACAGAAAATAAATATACACAACAATATACACCATTTAAACGAAACATAATGACTGTCGTTGCAAAAATCAAGGTTCCTGAGCTATTTTAAAAATCGAAGCGAGAGGCTTTTAACATTGCAGTATAAAATACAGGCTAAAATGGCTGAAACCTCAAATTTGCAAACTTCGTGTTGAAAATTGGCTAACAATGTCAATACAAAAACAGGTTGCGGGAATGAAACTTGAAACTTGAATGTCCAAAGAATAAGCAAGTCCAAACCTTGTATGTGTAGTCGTTGAACTCTAGGTTCCCACGTAAAGTTAAAATGCCCCTATTTCAAGAAGAATAAACTCACGAAAACACGAAAAATTCACTAAATTCACGTTTATTGTTTTAATTTTGACCGCCTGACAATTATAACTTTACGGAAATATCAGAGTCATTATAAACAAGTACTCTGTGACGGGCAACTTATAATATCCGTGTTTTAAAGATTTTAATGATATCAAGCCAGTCCAGTTCAAACTATTATCACGTGGTACAATTCTCATTTCCATATTATGAATATTAATTAGCAAAAGTACTACTAAATTCTGGCTTAATATATGTATCTAATCAGTCTGAAGGCTTAGGAATCCGGGTGAAAATGTGTTATTTGGTCACCCGGCTGGTGTTCCGGGTGACCCCTCAGAATTATGAAAATCTCGGGTCACACCCGCAGTATCCGGGTCAGTTGACAGGTATGCATCCAAAGGGGACTCAAAACTGGCAGCGATCTTATAATAAATGAGGCTTTTATAGCGCATGTTGGAGGGGTGGGGGTCACTTCTGGTGTGCTGCTGAAATTAAAAAAAAATATCCCCATTCATATATTGTCGAAGACCAAAAATCTGATCCATGTTATGGCTTTATATATATATAGGAGTTTAACCCCCAACCACCCCGTGGTTAAGGGTATACTGGGATAGGGGGAGGTTAATTTGCCCTTTTTATTGATTATGTTGATTGCGATATTTGAGGCAAAACATATGCCATATTAAATGTGGTATACGGGACTTTCATAAGAAGCAATGGAAGGATTGCACTTTTGGGATATGGGATATTGGTAATACCCCCCACCCCCCCTCCCCCCCAAACCCCAAAACCAAACCAAGGCTGGAAGACACATTTATTATTTTTCAGTTACTATTATCTGAAAAAGAAATTACGATTATCAAAGAAGAAAAATGCCATCAAGTTACAATACGATTATCATCCCAAATTTTTCGAAGGCAATTTTCTAAGCGCTTAGACGGTTAAAGTGCACTGTTACGATTCAAATATGATGTAATGCTATAGAATAACCTTGCAGCTGAGTAACTCCTGACAACAACAGGCTACATTTGAGAAAAATGACTGAAAAGATTTTACCCATTTCTGTTGTCGCCATACTGGGATCGTCGTAATTCCAGTTACGATTATCAGTTTAACACCAGTGGTTATTGTGGTGTGGACTTATAACCTTAAACTCCTTTTATTTATATCTATGATCAGCTGATATTTATAGCACGATATGATATCATATTTATAGAGAGAGAACCATTGTATGTGATAGAAATCGCTAAAGTGAAAAAAGGTATCCTTTAAAATAAGTTGGTTCTTACCTGGAGTATAAATCATAGATATAAGAGTTTTTTTAAAAATAAATCTGCTCTTCGTGAGTTCAAATCATAGAAGAAAACTATTCACACCCAAAATTAGGGATGAGGTTCAAATTAGTGACAATTGTCAAATTTTGTAGATTTTAAAATGCATTATAAAAGTTTTTCAAAATGTACTTCTTTTGTTAAATAAATTTAAACATCACAATGTTAATAAAATGCTCAGCTGGGCGCAGCTTGATACAACCGCAGAGGTCGAACCGGGAACAGTTGGGGCAAGTATGGACACAACATTCAAGCTTGATACAGCACTGAATTTGGATTGTGATTAAATATTTGACACAGCATAGGTTTCTGACACAGAATGAATGTGGTCTAAGAACTTAAAAAATTTTAATTTACCTATTCAAACCATATCATTATTATTTGCTTTTATATATAAATCAGAAATAACCAATTTAAAATAGAAAATTTTAAAGAAAAAAAAAGGAAAAAAAGGAAAAAAAAATCCCTCCCCCAAATTTTTTGAACCCCCTTATGATTCATCACCCCCAAACTCAATCCCAGCCTTCCCTTTGTGGTATGGTACCTTGCAGTACAATTTCAGAGAGATCCATACACTTGAACACATGTTATTTTCTGGAAACTAGGAAAATGCTTGTTTTTAGGCCCCTTTTTGGCCCCGAATTCCTAAACGTTTAGGGCAATTACCCCCAAACTCAAACCCAGCTTTCCCTTTAAGATATGGAACCTTGCAGTACAATTTCATAAAGATCCATACACTTACACACAAGTTATTGTCCTGAAATTAGAAAAATGCTTGTTTTTTGCCCCTTTTTCCTAAAATTTTGAGGCAATTACCCCAAAATCAATCCCAGCCTTCCCTTTGTTGTATGGTACCTTGCAGTACAATTTCAGAGAGATCCATACACTTGAACACAGTTTATTGTCTGGAAACTAGAAAAATGCTTATTTTTGGCCCCTTTTTGGCCCCTTATTCCTAAACGTTTTGGGCAATTACCCCCAAACTCAATTCCAGCTTTCCCTTTGTGATATGGAACCTTGTAGTACAATTTCAGAAAGATCCATACACTTACACACAAGTTATTGTCATGAAACTAGAAAAATGCTTGTTTTTTGCCCCTAATTCCTAAAATTTTGAGGCAATTACCCCCAAAATCAATCCCAGCATTCCCTTTGTGATATGGAACCTTGTGGGACAATGTCAGAGAGATCCATACACTAACACACAAGTTATATCTGGAAGTTACAAAAATGCTTATTTTTGGCCCCTTTTGGGCCCCTAATTCCTAAAATTTTGAGGCAATTACCCCCAAAATCAATCCCAGCCTTCCCTTTGTGGTATGGTACCTAGTAGTACAATTACAGAGAGATCCATACACTTGAACACAAGTTATTGTCTGGAAACTAGAAAAATGCTTATTTTTGGCCCCTTTTTGGCCCCTTATTCCTAAACGTTTTGGGCAATTACCCCCAAACTCAATTCCAGCTTTCCCTTTGTGATATGGAACCTTGTAGTACAATTTCAGAAAGATCCATACACTTACACACAAGTTATTGTCATGAAACTAGAAAAATGCTTGTTTTTTGCCCCTAATTCCTAAAATTTTGTTCAATTACCCCCAAAATCAATCCCAGCATTCCCTTTGTGATATGGAACCTTGTGGCACAATGTCAGAGAGATCCATTTACTAACACACAAGTTATGTCTGGAAGTTACAAAAATGCTTATTTTTGGCCCCTTTTGGGCCCCTAATTCCTTAACTGTTGGTACCATAACCCCCAAAATCAATCCCAACCTTCCTTTTGTGGTATTGAACCTTATGGTAAAATTTCATAGAGATCCATTCACTTAAACTAAAGTTAGAGTGTGAAAACCAATGTGTCTTCAGACAACGATGCCAACGTCATACCAATAAACATCCACAAAAATTTTTTTGCGGTCGTATAAAAACTCTAAAATATTGCATTCGACACAATTTTAATAACAAACCTGTTTCTCCAGCATGGAAAAAATAAGGTAAGTCGATTGGTGGATTTTGTTGCTGTGGATACAATAAAGGATCAATATAGTACAATAAAGTTTTCCCAGGATCCTCTTGTCCAACTAAGTCATACCCAGCAAAATAGTCTGGGAACTTGGACTTTAGTGCCATGGAAAGTTTAACATCTACTAAAATATCTGTTGGACTTTTAATCCTGGAAAAAAAGTAAAAGCTTACTATGGATAAAATCAATTTTGCAATAACTATTTATACATTTGATGAAATACACATAAGCCTTTTTTGTATAGTGATATTAGTTCTAGTTTTTCTAACTAGTTTGCATCTAGGTCGCAAAGGGATCTGAAAGAGGCAAACTTAACTTATGACATCTGACCTTTATTTTGGTTAGACCTTCTCCTTACTAAAAACAGTTTGGTTAAGACGAAATGAATGTGGAAATTTCTATTATCTTAAAAGGTGTTGCTCATATAAAGGGGCTTATTTCTAGAGAAGTTGCAGGGGTGGAGGGCATCCAGGCATTTTGATAGAAGGGTGTAATTTTGGGATGCTTTATGCAAGATAAAAAAGATTTTCTTTTCTATCCCCCCCATCCCCCACCCCCCCTGAATCTGCCACTGAATTGGTGTTGAGGCAGATTTTTTAATTGTTTCTGTTTAATTTGTTCACACCTTTAATAGATTCATGACAATTTAGAGCTGGACATATTGTAAAGACACCTGTCTATTGTTGAAGACAGTATATGTCACCACATAGATGTCTTTTGATTATTTTTGTTGGTTGGTTACTGTATCATTGATGTTTACCTCACAATTCCTTTCATTCATAGATAAAATTTAAAAAAAGCATTTCATAATAACTTAAAATTGATAAATCTTTCAAATGTAAAAATATTTCCCTTTCATTTCAATATTTAGTAGGTCAGAAACAAGGAACAAGATAATATTATTTCTTGATATTTATATTTACAAAAATCGATCTATGTATATAAATATTATAAATGGGTCACTATTCTCAAATTTTTTTATGAGTTTTGCACCTCTCATATCAACTGTTAAACCATTCTAAGCTAATTGGCCAATAATTAACCAGTCACCACATGATTATTTTATGACAAGATGCTCAAAAGAGCCAGTGTTGCTTGCCGGTATCTGGATCTATGTACATTTTCAAAATTGAAGACTAGAATATGAAGAATATAATTCATGACAAGGATCTCTTGTTGCAAACGACAGACAATAAGTGATGAGAATAGCTCACTGGACCCTTTGGGTCGGGTGAGCTAAAAAAAGACCTCGGATGTTCTATGAAAAGCAAATGCAATGGCTTTTGCAAACATCAGAAATCAGAAAACTTCAGAAACATCATTCATCAAGTTTTTTGGGGGGAGTTTTTAAATTTATTCTATGCAAAATTACATTTTGTCTAAATTAAAGCCAATAACTTGAGAATTAATAACCAATCATTTATTTGATTTCGTTGCATTCTAAATAATAAGAAATATTTTACCACCATTTTGATTATTATGGTACAATTGTCTAAAATACAATAGGCAAATTGTTATTCATGTGTTTGATAATATATTTATTTATTCAAAAAAACATTCTTGCAGTTAACTGAATTAAGGTGTATATTTACAAGTGTGCTATCCTGTATATTATGTTAACATTGAGATTTCAATGATGATTATATAATCTCACAAATAACATTTCAATATATATATCTCTTAAATCAATCAAATATATTTAATGTATTTTAGATATTATGACAGTCATTGTTAAATAGAACTACATTTAAAAATCTGAGTCTTTTTTTTTTGACTCAACAACAATATTGCACATGCTGTTAACAGATTTCTTCACTGGTACAGCTATTTCAGTGAAGATCCCTGTATATTAGTACCCAAAGACCAGGGTATCTTCAGGTATATATATGTAAAATCTGAATCTTAAGTTTATATAACATGAAGAATATATTACATAATTCTACTTCTTTTTTATAAGCCCCTTCGATGTCTGTCTGTCTGTTCTAAAAAGATTTGATTTTTACAATTTTCAATTTTGCAGATATTAACACAGTATATGTAATGGGACTGACATCATTCAAATAATTGGTAACTCCACTTTGCACTTTGTAATATTAGGATTGCTTGGGACAGGCATATCACCTGCAGAGGTTTATTTCCAAGCAGGTATCATGTGACCTTCGGCAAAAAGAGATTATATGATAAGGATTTTTTTCCAAATTATAAGAAAAGATTATTTGATTTGATTTTTGGTGTTTTAACGCCACTTTTAAGCACCGCTTTTGGGCTATTTCGTGGCGGCCAGTTTTTATTGGTGGAGGAAGCCGGAGTGCCCGGAGAAAACCACCGACCTTCGATAGGAAAACTGACAATCCTAGTCAATTAAGATTGGAGTCGAGTGCACCCGCATGCGCGGGGTTCGAACTCACAACCTCAGTGTTGACTGGCTAGTGATTACAGTAGTAACTGCTTAGACCACTCGGCCATTGAGGCCCCTAAAAGATTATTTGTATAGAATGTTCAAATAAATCAAATTTAAAAGTCAAGAAAAGATTTGTTTTCATCCCTCTACCTTATACTAGAGTATATATATTTTCCACCAGAGAAGTCTTTATGATCTCGTTTAAACTGGTTAAATACGTCTTGGTAAATTTGCATCACTGCTGTCTTGTCATATGTGTGTCCATTTAAATCATATACCTGAAATGAAGAAAAGAAACCATGAGTTTTCAATATGAACATGATATACAGTTTATTTCTATGAGACAACTGTAAACAATATGTGTTAATATTTACAGAAATCATGAATACATGTTATTGCAGCCAAATGTGGAATCACAACAAATGTATGGTTTCTTAATTTTTATTTTAGATTTATTGGTGTGTAAAGGCATAGACAAAAGCACATTTTGTACAATGCATAAATTAGCAATTCAAACTAACATGAAGGAGAAGGTCCGGTAAGGGCTATTATAGTTTTGGCCTAAAATTCGAAGTACATCTGATGAAAGATTTTTGACATTTTTTAAACACTTATTAAAGTGTCTACTGCAGTTGATTCAATTAGTTTATATAAAAGATTTGAAATGATTTGGTCACCAAGGAAGCTTAAATATGAAAAATCTATCAAACAAAAAAAATTGCCATAAAACGTCACTTTTCAGATGGTTTTTGTCAAAAATGGAAGTGGCTGCATTCAAGTTCAGTCTCAACCTTTATATATGTTATGTATTATTATCATATACAACATGTATTTAAATATCAAGACTGAACACAAATGCATCCACTTTCATTTTAGACAAAAACCATCTAAAAATTAGCACAAATGCTAAAATGGTGAAGATTTCAGTAATTTTGCATGATTTATGATGCTAGTACCTAATGCCTGTGCAGTGTATTGTCAAAAACAGCCCATATTTTTAAAACAAAAGTATCCTACTTTCCAATAGATAGCTAAAAGTTTGCATTTCAACAAATTTGTAAAAATGCTATATTTTGGGGCCAAAAAGGGGTCTTACCGGACTTACTTCTTTGATTGGCATATTCCCACATATATATATATATCTATAACAAATTCTTTCAAATCTTTGAATTTGATCAAATCCAAATCTAACCTTAAATATGCTTTTAACACATGTTTAATATTAGAAAGTTTCTCATTTGGTATATATATATGCCATAGATTCCTTACATATGACATCAAGGAGACTAATAAAGTTGCCTTTAATCAAGATATGAACCATCTCTAAAATCGTCTTGACCAATCATACAATACTTTTTTATTCACAAATTCGAGGGGGAGGGGGGTAAAAAAAGTGACCTCAACATACTTCTCTGTGAGGACCCTAACATGACATTTCAATGGTTTGGGTAAAATTGTATGGGTTATTCTCATTGTTGAAGGCTGTATGGTGACCTATAATTACTTATATATAGGTCATCTGAACTCTGGGGATAGTTGTCTCATTTGCAATCATACCACATTTCCTTTTATTTATACTAATTGTAGATATTTACTTTCTGAGTTAGGACACATCATAACATACCTTAGGCAAAAGACCTCTAACTTCAATATACTGGACATTGTCTCTTCTGAACTCATTCAAGGCTTCATAGAAATAGTCCTTAAAGACAGGAAGATAATTGACCATACCGTTGGCAACATCAAAACAATGTAAAAATTGTGCCCATACAACATCTATGTTTGGATATGTCTTCACTGGGTCATCTACTACTAAGGACATACTATTATATAACCTGGTGAAAACAATTACAGTATTATACACAAAAAAAGTAATGGTAAAATGACATACATGACAAATTTGATTTTCCTATTGTTAATTTTCTTTTTCTTGATAGTATTCTGTTGTCTAGGAATAAAAGGGAATGTGGCGAACATCAATGAGACAGCAACCAAATAAACACAAAAAAAACAAAAGACATCAAGAGGTCTACATATGGTCTTCAATGTTGTACTGTACTGTAAATTCAGAAATTATTATGAGAATATATCATTGTGATATTGTCTTGACCAAGCAAAATTTGAGATTAATTATAGCAATTTCAAGAAAAGCTGCATATAGATATATGTATCTGTGACATACATTAGAATGAGAGTTCTTATTGTTGCTATACTTGTACAGTCGCATTATTCCCATAAATAAATACATGGCAATAATTTCTGAATTTACAGTATACATTTCTCTCATATTAACAAAATTAAAAGTATTGTAATGTCTTTATACAATTTTTCTATTTCTAATTAATTTACAGGGCCAAAGAAGCAAAAAATGTATCTTCTATGTGCTAAAATCCTGGTATTCAATACAATCACATGGTACAGAGTTCTTAATCTCATCAAAATAAAACATGTGCTAAGCACAAAACAATTTACTTAAGGATGTATTCTTCTGACGTTACAGTCTCGTTGAAATCTCGTTTTGGAATTATTTCCAAAACATGTGATACAAACGGAAAATATCAATGAATTTCAAAAATGTTATAATCAAACTTAACACTGTGAAAAAATGCGTATTTACAATGAGTAGTTATTGAGTAATCAATTTTTCAAATTTTATTACCAATCAAGTCAGTCTTTTTAGCCAAAATTTTGAGAAAATGGGTGAGGGGTACAAGAAATGATTTTACCAGAAACATGTACATCCCATATCACTTTTTTCTTTTCAAATTTCTTAGATATGTATTTTTTCAATCATTTATAACAAAGAAGTTGAAATAATATGCATTTTGTTCTTAAAACAGAGAAAAATCACAAATTTACAAAATTGACAGCATGGTTAATTTGACACAAAAAAGCATCAAAATATGATAAAATTTTCTTATATTAACACCTACCTATAGTTTTTTTTAAGTTAAATTTATTCAGATTGGTCCACTTCATCTTTATTGAGAGTATGAAAAAAAAAATTGTGGAACTGTGATTTTTTTCACGATAATAGCCCAAAAATAGGTAAAAATTGATGAAAAATGGGAAAATCATCAAAATTGGGTACTTCAAAGGGCCGTATCAAAAAAAAAAGTGTACCACCATATGATTTTTTCTTCACCAAGTATTTTTGTACAGTCATATAAACCCAAAAATCAGGTTAAGAAAAAAAGTTTAATTCTAGAAATTTTTGGCTCCACAGAGGTGTACATCCTTAAGCAAGAATCATAGGAATGCTTGCATTATTACTCACATCTGATCAAACTTAGATGTATCTCCAGAAACTTGTCTTTGATGACTAACTAACATCCATGGACAACCTAAATAAATAAAAATTTGTATCACAATTTATCATATACTTCCTGCTCAATTCACTTGCCTCGGAAAACAATGTCAAACCAAACTTTAAAATTAGTATCTGCAGCAAAGACTGGTCATCCTAGAATCAGACATGTGTTGACGTAGATTGTTAATCTGTGAGCTAGCATATAAAAAAAACTGACTTAGCATGATGGCTTATTACAATGCTGAGTATTTCCTTATAGCTATAACATGTTAACATTGTCCTGAACATGAATGCAATATTTTCTTACTGACAACACACACCTATTAATCATTCAGAATTTTTTCAGAAGTCAAAAATTAAGAATGATGTAAATTTGAAAGACATTTTCAAACACACTTCTATTTGTAGTTTAATTGCAGTCTAAAGAAAAAGTCAGCCTTCGCACATTTTGTAACAACATCACTTAAGCCAATGGTTACTATCCGATCCCATATATCATTATGATTTTGTAAGGAAGTGCTTCATTCAATAATCATGATAATATGGATTGAAGGGTCAATTCTTTAAATACAAGGGTGAACCCTATAAAACTACAAATAAAGAAGCATTAAATTCTTATAGTTACATTTTTCATGCTAAACCCGATCAAATACATGTTACAAAGAAAGCTTCAAGTTTGTTTAGTTTAAATTACTACACACTACTGCAGAATTTTTAGTGAAGGCTTCACCATTTCTTTACAGATAACCTTCAATGACATATTTTGTAACAATCAGTTAAACTTATGAACTATGCTTTTATCAACAGAAATGATCCTTTTGGAAGAGGAAGTTCAGTAGCAAATATCACTTTCCTTCATTACTGAGGACATTCAAGATGAAAAGCAGCAATAAGAAAAGATAACAGTATTTCATTAATTGTTGATTCATGAATTTGTAGATTGTAGATTACATTTCATAACATTTGCACTGTAAACAAAATGAAAACCTTTGATATTGATATACATACCTGGGTTTTGCGGTGGGTTTGCATAGAAATGAAACTTGATGCTAGAGGTGTTGACATCTTGGCACATGTAACAGTTTGGACGGTATGTAACATTCTTCACAATCCACCAAATATCTGTCAAGGAAATATCATGGAGATGTAAGGCACCACCTGGAAAATATAAAGTTTGTTTTCTAGAATAAGAAAATGTTATAAAGATGACAGGTACAAGTTAAAATATATGCTCTTGCAATATAAAAAAAAGTAGGTTTCCATGGATACTAATATGTCTGATACAGATAGTATCACGAAGATGCTATAAAGATCTCCTTACTTTTTAAATAGTTCTTGCAACACTAAATACAGATTATGATGGTTACTAAATGTCTGATACAGAGATGTTAGGTGGAATCTGTAACATAAATGCGGGTACATGTAACCATGGATACCTAAGGTCTGTTACAGAGATGTCATGAAGATGTAATTCAATGCTTGTAACACAGAATGCAGGATACCATGGATACTAAATAACTAATACAGAAATTTTATGAAGATATAATGCAGCTTTCCCAAAATGAAAGAACCTTAGTGAGCTTGCTCACATACCCCACGTCCCCACATTGTCATTGGAGAAATAAAATAAGTGTAAGAAAAAAAAATTGTATCAAAAAAAAAAATTGAAAAATAATTTCCTATCAATATGCACATCTACGTAGTATGTCCTTATTATCTGAAAAGGTTTCATGAAATTCTGTTGTGTGGTTTGAGAGGAGTTGCAATGACAAACTGTTGCAGTAGTACATTAAAGTAAATAAGTTCAAAGGGGCGTAACTCCTAGAAAAAGAATTGAATCGTAATTTCCTGTTGATATGCACAACTACATAGTATGTCCTTATTATCTAAAAAGGTTTAGTGAAATTCTGTTGTGTGGTTTGAGAGGAGTTGCAATGACAAAAGGTTGCAGTAGTATATTGGGCAAATAAGTTCAAAGGGGCGTAACTCCTGAACAAAAAATTGAATCGTAATTTCCTGTCAATATGCCACCTACGTAGTATGTCCTTATTATCTGGAAAGGTTTCATGAAATTCTGTTGTGTGGTTTGAGAGGAGTTGCGATGACACTGTTGCAGTAGTATATTGGGCAAATAAGTTCAAAGGGGTGTAACTCCTGGATAAAAAATTGAATCGTAATTTCCTGTCGATATGCACAACTACATAGAATGTCCTTATTATCTTAAAAGGTTTCGTGACATTCTGTTGTGTGGTTTGAGAGGAGTTGCGATGACAAGAAACAGGACTGACGGACGGACGGACGGGTCAAAAACATTATACCCTCCGCAACTTGTTGCGTGGGGTATAATAAAATCAAGTTACCAAGTTACCATGGGTACTAGTTGTCTGATACAGAGATGTCATGAAGATGTAAAGCAACTCTAACCACATAAAATACAGGTTACAATGGATACAAAATATCATCTGCACCAACTACTGCAACTTCATAACACAAGGATTAAACTATCCTCCTTTCCTCCATAAAAAAAAACTTGGGGATCAGATTTAGTGTTATCTTATTTAAGTTAAATTCAATTTGAAGCTCTATCTACTCATTGTCACATTTACTTCTTTTAAAATCTTTTGTTTAACATTAGATGATCAGCATCTTATACAATTTCTGGACTTTTTGGTAAGCCCAAAATGTTTGTTATATATTGTAAATTATTTGGCTTATTCAAGTCTTTTCAACATTATTATTAGTGCCATGACTATAACTATTTCACTCTCTGTATCAAATTTGTAGTTTAAAAAAAAAAGATGACTAAGTTGTAGTTAACATCATGAAACACTGAAAGTCAACATGGTCTAAGCACACTTATTCATCCACTCCATCAGTCATGAAATATACATGTATGTTTTTAAATGAATGCCCATGCTACTAAGTTAATGAGGCTATAAAAGTCATTCAAAAAATAAGTGGTAGAAATATAAGACTGGTACTTGCACTTTGTATATATATATGTTATATATGAATCATAAACCTCATGATCAATTCAGACCTTGAATTCATGATTCATTAAAAATGATTAATCTAAACAAAAAAACAGTTTGGTAAATTAATGGATTCATGCATCTTCATGTAGTTATTCTGAATACCTGTATAAATTATTCTTGTTTAATAAAACATTTCTTTGCTTTATGCATTTTCCATTTTTCCAAGAAAGGACGAGGAGAAGTTTGAATCTATTATTTTTTTCTCTATAGGCTATTTATTGCTAGAAATGCACATACCAATCCAATTTATGATATTTGTGAAATCAAAGCTTGTGCTACTGTATGCATAAGTCTGTCTGTTTATCATTTACTAAGAACCAACTCAAGCTTCTGTCTTCTCTGTCCAATTTCAATAAACAGGTATATACAGTTAGAGATCTTGATGTGTAAACATCATTTAAGAAGAACTTTTAGTTATTTGAGTATTCCCTAAATTTTGTCCTTTTACGCATTTTTTAAGCTTGTTATTATTACACAACATTGATCTATCCACAGATATATTTTGTTGCATCTATATTAGCTTTTCTGTTAAATCAAAATATTCATATGTGTCTGATTTTCTGAATCATATAATTTCCCAAAGTTTGCTATTAGCCTATATCATGTATATGTAGCCTGATCACACCTTGTGGAAGTTAACTCCTCCAAAATATTGTTTTATGATGTAAATGAAAGTGTATTGAACAAAACATCAATATACAGTAAACTCAGTCTGGTTATAACTGTTCTCCTTTTTTTTAGATGTGTCAAATGCTGTGACTTCCTACAAGTGAGCAAAGTGAGCAGTCTAAATTTAATCCCATTGCAGCAACTTGACAACTTCAGATCACAAAAATGAATGCAAGTATTTTTTTTATATCCTATTGATGCAATATTTTAGTGTTTGGCATTTCTTCATTTTGCTTTCACAATTTTTTTTTGGAGGGGGATAATTTTTTAAATTTATTTTGGTGGGGGTGGGGTTATACCTTATACTCCTACCTTTGCACTTTTCAATTATCATGATTATCTATTCCAGGGTTTATAGAGAAGATCCTGACTTAGATGGACATTCAAGCCAAAATACAATATAAATTGACAGTGATTAAAATTAAAGATTTTGAATGTAATAGGGCACATCATTCTGTAAAAATTTGAAGGCATAATCTTCCACAAAGCCATGACTGAAATATTATCTAGTTGAAGACAGTAGACTTAAAAAACTGGTTTTCTTGAAGCCATTACTTTTGATGCAGTTTAACGCATGTGAAAGCAGTCTAAAAAGGAAAAAAATGAGGCCATGATGGCCATTCTCGTGAAATAAAAAAATAATTCTTATCACATTAAATCAACCCTGATTTGGGTATTATACCTATGTGACCTATGAATGGAGATAATACCCAGTTATTAGGAAATTTTCTAGCTGTTCAATGGTTTACTAAGGATAGGAGTGGAGGGCAGTTGCGTACAGCTTAAGTTTTATCTATACGTATTTAAGTTCCAGTCAGGGGACAGACAGTTCTAGTTTAATTCTATACCTATTAAAATCTCTAATTTTCATTAGGTTTTATATATGTATATAAGAAATGGGCTAAAATATCTGCCATTTTCAGAATATTCTTCTGTCACATAAACATGATAAACATGATAAAGTGGATAAGAATTTCTATGTACTGGTCGTGACCATGATGACATTTGTACTTGTACTAATTGTACTACATGTATTAGGAACATCGTAGTGGACTAGGTTATCAGTAATATCCTATATACACTGGAGATAAGACTGTTCAAAGTTCGAAATTACTTCAAAAATTCATATTTTTATATACATTTGTATATTTATTTAATTTGCTTAAAGATATTCTACTTTAACATGTTTAATGTTAAGAGTTTGGTTATTTTTGTGTTTGTTGTTTGACAACATTATAAATTTTTAACTTTTTTTCACATGCAGAAAAACATACTGTAATTACACTGAAACCAGCATCAATATACATGTAACTACAACATGTACAATAGACAATGATCCACTCTTGGTAAATGGTAAGTCCCTAAAGCTCCTGTATGCCCAGAGCTAGAGATCTGGTCATTTTGATAATTTTCATTGTATATTTTTCATCTATGAATTATGTAATTGTACTTATGTTTACACTCAATCAAGCAAAGTATTTAAAGATGGTTTGACTGTTCTCTAAATAAGACATTTTGGTTCTGGTGGTCCTAACCTAGTGTTTTGATGAGCATCGCCATGTCTATAAATGATTATTATGTTTAACAAAAAAATAAAGTTATCTTTACATCATTATAATGTGTTCCTATACACCAAGAAATGTGTTCTACTAAATAAAAAAAGTACAGTCTATCAGAAAAAATAAAATCTTTGACGAATAATTAACACTGGGAGATTTGTGGTGGACATTAATGAGACAGTATAACTCATGAAAATTGGGTATATTGTACCTTTTTCCTCCAATAAAAATGAAATTAGAACTTTTACTTATTAACCAAATCTAAGTTAATATTTGTTTTCTTCAATTCTGAAAAGAAATGGATGTGCAACCACAACAGGGGAGGTAATTCAAACAATTACTTTATATTTTGAAATAAAAATAATCTTAATCTTTCTGTTTACATATACATGTTAATCTTATACTGTAAATATGCTGGTAGGAAATTATCTTTGTAAAAATAATACACAACAAGGACACATTTATAGTACATGTGATAAACCAATATGAACTAACCTTTTGGCATTTTTTGTAAAATTTTGAATACACTGCTTTTCTCTATAATTGACTTTCCCTTGAAGAAATGCATACTTGGAGGAAAAGGAGCGCCATTCCTAGACGCATTTATTTCCGCATATTTCATACGCATTAGAGCTGCATTAGCTTTTTCTTCCTTCACAGTCAATGTTAAATTTTCTCCAATTTTCAATTTCTCCTCAGCATCAAGAAAAGATTGTCTCGTCTTAAGATATGTTTCTTTTGAAAACTGAAGAGGTGAGGATTTTATGCATGTTAAAAAGAAATAAAATGCAAAAATACAAACTAATGCTTTCGTTTCCATTTTGTTATTGTCTATGAACCCAACAGGTGCGATGATATTTATAAATGAATCTATAGTCTGTTTCGATGTGAAAATGAAAGTTGGTTATTGACCGACATCGATTTAAATTGTTTCCAGCTCTCTATCAGTGAAAGATCTTCACTAAGTAGCATGACAAACTATAGATAATTACTGTACAATCTATTGTTACGTGTTTTCTTGTACATAAACAATGATCAAGAGACTGATAAATTAAGAACTGAGATCACTAGACGTATAACACTGTATTTTTATCTGAGACTACAAAAACTTACAAATTTATAAACCATGTAAACCTTATGTAGAGTCGACAAAGGACATATACCATATGCTCTATTGAGCTTTTAACAAACATGCAGTTAGTCTCAGCATAGCTGTATAAATCCATATATGGTCTGAGATAATATATATAGTAGGACAAGATGTTCAATCAGGACTCTGACATATAGATATACTGTTCCCAGGTTCAATCAATGATCGAATTCATAAATGATCCCCATAGACATATAATAATATAATACATTGTGTCACTGCGACCATAAATCTGTCAATTGGCTCCTTAATTGTTGCATGTTATAAAATTTTACTGAGAGATATGTATAAATAATTCAACCCTTCGTGGGGTCGCCGCAAGAAAGCAACAGTTACTTCAAGTCTTGCCAAATTGAATTTTTCAGATGTTTAGGAAAATCAGGAGACTTTTTTAAAAAGTTTTAAAGGCGTTTCAATTTTACACAATTCATAATAAATATTTTCTTCTCTTTTTTTTTTCTTGCGGCCTAAAAGTGCACAGTTCTTAAATTGCAGTGGCGGACCCAGGGGGGGGGAGGTCCCTTCTTGACGATCAATGCATTTGAATGGGGATACATCGTTGGACCCCCCCTCTTTATCCTGAGTTGGGACCCCCCTTTTAAAAATGGCTGGATTTTAAAAATGGCTGGATCCGCCCCTGAATTGTGAAGCTACCATTACAAATAATATCTGGATATCTGGGAACAATAAACTGTTATATTATGTCCCAGATAATATCATAGACACTATTTTTATTCTCATTAATCATGATCCATATAAATTTATTTTCAGAACTTAGTATGTTAAAATTATCATAGCTCTTACTAAACGAATTTATATATGACCCATATACATATATGTTTTCAATTTAGACTTGTTTATATATGTTGGACTCGGACCCGCGATGGTACTCCGAACCGCGATGGTCACGCTGAAGTGCGATGGTGACATTGTGACGTTAATGGTCCGTGTAACACTTATCAATTCAAAATTTCAAAAAGTTTTCAAATTCTAGTTTTTTGGATTTTTGATCAAAGTTTTAAAATATCAAAATTCCAAATTCTTTATTTTTTTTCAATTAAGAAAATTTCACCAAATAATTAAAATTTCAAAATTATAAACTTCGTTTTAAAATTTAATTGTTTAGATATTTAAGCAAACTTTAAAAATACTAAACTGAGCGTAAAGTTTTGATCATTTCGCTTTTTAAAAGTTTTATTTTTTTTATTTTTGATTAAATAATAGTAAAGGGGGAAAGGACGACTTAAAAGTGGATACCTGTTACAAGTGCGAAACGGAATAAGAATGGAAGGAAACGAAATGAAATTTACCAAAACAAATCAAAACGAAAACAATATTTTCTGAAAAACTAAATTTAATAAAAACCATAAAACAAGAGGCTAACTTGTGACCTACCGAATTACTTATTACCGGGTTTGTAATAACATGAGCCGGCAACACGACGGGTGCCACATGTGGAGCAGGATCTGCTTACCCTTCCGGAGCATCTGAGATCACCCCAAGTTTTTGGTGGGGTTCTTTGTGCTCAGTCTTTAGTTTTCTATGTTTTGTTTTTGTGTACTATTGTTTGTCTATTGGCCTTTTTCTTTTTTAGCCATGGCGTTGTCTGTTTATTTTCGACATATGAGTTTGAATGTCCCGGGGCCTCTGTTATCGTTCGCCTCTATTTTGTTTTATATACAGGGTGAACAAGAGAAATATGTTTCTTTAAGTCTAAAAAAATAATTAGTAAGACCTGATTTTGGCACACTTTGATTCTCTAACTAAACGAACAATATGCAGAAATTGTGCAAAAAGTTTGCAGCATACCTGCAAACACTGGTTAGCACATTTGCTGACCAAGTTCATCTTTCAGCTGCTTTGCTCCCCATGATTTGCTGCCTGAAATGGTTTAACATTTTTTTGTAACCTCCACCTGTACTGCTCAAAACTGTTCGGGACTTAAATCGTTCGTTACAATTTATTTTTTCATTCCTTTCTTTCCTTGCCTTTGAATCCATGTTGTATTTTTCAAAGTAACATTGTATTTGAAAACGTCACAATATTCAAGCGGCATGCCAGACCATCGCACTTCAGCGAAAGGATCATCGCACTTCGGCGTGGACCATCGCACTTCAGCGTGACCATCGCATTTCAGCGTCCCCATCGCACCTCCGAGTCCTACATGTATATATATTATGAATGTTTCTCTTTACTGTTGAAGACCGGTGCAGTCCATAAGGAAATTTATGTACCTCATCTTCCATTGCCTGATCACTGACGGTGACAAAAATTACCATGATTTCATGATCTATCTCAGGCCAACATCTAAATTAACGAATCTATCTTTTTGAATGTTGCGACGGTCATATAACCCGATATAAACACAAATATAGATATAAATAGATGTGGCAGGACACGTGAAATTGGAATTTTCTAGGTCTGTTTGATTTCATATTATAGGTTAAAAAATATGTTGATCATCGTTTTTACCTGTATAAGAATGATTTTTTTGTGGATCGAATTGGTCTAAAGTGTTACCAATTCAACACTGTAATTAGATCTTTGAATATTGTTTTATTGGTATTAATATTGATTTTGTTATCAGTGAATTAAAATCAAACTAAATATTATTTTTATATACATATGCACATTCATGGCTCTACAATCTGTCGATACCTGTATCTTGGCATTGCACAAGGTCATGTTTTTCTCTGACTGCGGTTAATGACGTCTTTACACTAAATGTTGGATGTGAACTGATTGATATTTCAGTCTTAGATGCACGATTTTTTTTATTAGTTGTTATTGGCTCTAAACTATATGTGCCTGTCCCAAGTCAGGAGCCTGTATTTGAATGGTTGTCATTTTTTGCTGTTTCTCATATTTGTTTTTCGTTTATTGTTTGCATAGTTTGTTCTTATGTTGTGTCATTACACCACTGTCCCAGGTTAGGGGGGAGGGTTTGGCGCCAACACACTAGTTTAACCCCCCCCCCCCCCCACATTCTGTATATGCCTGTCCTAAGTCAGTAGCCTGTAGTTCAGTGGTTGTCGTTTGTTGCTGTTTATCATATTTGTTTTTCGTTCACCATTTCGTACATGAATTAGGCCGTTTTAGTTTTCTCGTTTGAATTGTTTTACATTTTTCATTTCGGGGCCTTTTATAGCTGACTATGCGGTATTGTTTTTGCTCATTGTTGAAGGCTGAACGGTGACCTATAGTTGATAATTTCTGTGTCATTTGGTTTCTTGTGGAGAGCAGGGGCGGATCCAGGGGGGGTCCGGGGGTTGGAACCCCCCTTTTTTGACGATCAATGCATTTGAATGGGGACATGTAGTTGGAACCCCCCTTTTATAAATGGCTGGATCCGCCCCTGGAGAGTTGTCTTATTGGCAATCATACCACATTTTCTTATTTTTATACCCTTGTATCACTTTCAATGTTGACATTCTTTCCCCTTGAGTTAGCTGAACACACCTAGATATGCGCAACACATCTTTAGCTAAGGGAAATTGAAGTTAATGCACATGAATATGGATTCAATGAGGTCGAATTATTCACTTGCAAGTTAATAATTCATCGGCGATGCTTCTTAGCTTATTTTGACAAAATTAAACCAAACTGGCTGCTAAAATCGAATTATTATTTAACTTTTTCTCTTTCATTAATGATTGAACAAACAAAAATCCTATATCTCGCAGGTCGTAGCTAATGCCTCTTTAAAGATTTCTATCCTGGAGTCTTGTCCAATATTTAATGATCTGGGAATAGCATACAAAATATTATATAACTAATAGTAGAATGACAAAACGTATAACTGTATTGATTTATAGGGAAAAGATCAATGAATAATGAATCAGCATCAGCTGCTATCACATGACATAAAATTAACAAATGACAGTATTTATAACTTTACTGGAATACACTATATATTATGCTATTTTTAGATTGAAAGCTAATGTTACAATATTGTTGATTGGTGAATATTTTGGAAGATACCTTTGGATTGACAAATCCCAACAACTGTTCCAGACACACAACTTCACAAAAAACGCAAACTGTCAACAACCTCAACGTGGCAGAGACGTTTCGAAAAATTTGAACATTCACGTCAATTTTTTTAATGACTGACGTAATCTAAAATGTGAACGTGCTGACAGATTACATTTATAGTACAGAAAGTGATTTATAGTGCGTGCACATTTATGCTAATTGATTTATCAACTTTTTTGCAGTTCACTGAAATTTCATAGAAAGTAAAAAGAAAGTGAATTATCGAAGAAAAAGTTAATTTTTTTCTTTGTAAGATTTTTGCACAATGTCGTATTTATACCAGAGTGTTAAAGGATACATATTCAAGGTAAAAATCAGCTTATATTATTTATCAAAAGCATGACAATGCATGAGTTGCATCTCTTAATACCTCCTTAGTGTATTTTAAAGATCAGTCTGTACCAATAATTTCATATACCTATACCAAACCAATTGCAACTAAAATTTTCAATTACAAACAGGTTTTGCAAGATCTCAACATTGACAACTTCAAGTCCTGATTGCACCTGTGCTAGTTCCCAATTCACATATAATCCGGCTGGCCACGTTATTACCGGAGACCTCAACATTGTCAATAACACTTCCCTGCGAAATTTGTTATCCAAAGGTCCGAAATATCGTGAGCCTAAATCCATCAATTGGAAATACAACTTCCAAATACTGATGGATTCAATCGAGGATTATGCAAGGCAATGGGCTAAAAGCGAGAAAGAAGACGTAGATACTCTTTCCGATTGGATTAAGGCTGTGAGGTCGTTGATACAAATTCCGAATTAAGAAACTAAATGGGCCTATCAATACCCAAGCTACGTCAATTTTTAAAGACCTAAATGTTGCAAAACACTTGTCCTACCTCCATGACAAATATGTTGTTGTCCCCGCAGATAAAGCCCCAAACAACATCGTTTTTGTGTGTAAATATCATTACATAAACTTCTTGATAAATGAATTAGGTATTGACAATTCACTTGGAAACTCAACATATATCCTCACGACACTTACCAAAGAGGAAATCCTGGATAATCAGAGGTCTGTTCTATGTTCCTTTGGAATTTCAACCAAAGATGAAGAACTGGATCTTCCATCACTGTATTGGATACCTAAACTACATAAATGTCCTTACAAACAACGGTATATTGCTGGGTCTTCCAAGTGCTCCACGAAACCTCTTTCTAAATTATTAACATCTATTTTATCAGCAATCAAAGCCGGGCTCCAAAGTTATTGTGAAACTGCCTATTCTAGAGGTGGTGTGAATCAGATGTGGATACTAAAAAATTCCAAAGATCTTTTAGAGTACATACAGTCTAAGACTCTCTTATCTTGCAATAGTATTAAAACATTTGACTTTTCTACACTTTACACAAGTATTCTCCATTCCAAACTAAAAGACAAATTGAATGAGTTGGTATTACTTTGTTTCAATAAAAACAATGGAGAACGTAGATACAAGTATCTTGTCCTGGGGAGGGATAAATCCTACTTTGTAAAGAATCACTCTGATTCAAACAAAAAATTATCTGAAACTGGCATTATCAAGATGCTTGATTTCTTGATTGACAACATATTTGTTAGGTTAAGAGGACATGTTTTTCAACAGACTGTCGGAATTCCAATGGGAACCAATTGTGCCCCTCTTCTTGCTGACTTGTTTCTTTATTATTATGAGGCTGACTTCATACAGGAACTTCTTAGGAAGAAAGATAAGAAGTTAGCAATATCCTTTCACAATGTTTAATTTTACCTTCCGCTATACTGTAAATTCAAAAATTATTGCGTGCATTTATTATTGCAATTTTGTCATTTTAGACTTAAATGCGATTTTAATTTTTACGATTTCGAGAAAAATTCCTGTTTCGTCCATATAAAATATTTCAAAATGCGAGTTTAAATTATTGCGTTTACAACTCTGTCGCAATAATAAAAACCTCTCAATAATTTCTGAATTTACAGTACAGATGATGTTCTCTCACTAAATAATACAAAATTTGGTGACTATGATGAACGAATCTATCCTATCGAACTAGAGATAAAGGATACTATAGATACAGTTAAGTCTGCCTTATATCTTGACTTACATCTAGAAATTGACAATGAGGGTCGGTTGAAAACAAAACTTTACGACAAAAGAGATGATTTCAGCTTCCCAATTGTGAACTTGCCGTTTCTATGTAGCAACATTCCAGCAGCGCCTGCATACGGAGTATATACATGATATATCTCCCAATTGATACGATATTTCCGGGCTTGTATTTCCTATCATGATTTCCTTGAAAGAGGATTGCTGCTCACAAGGAAGCTATTAAACCAAGTGTTCCAAATGGTGAAGTTGAAATCATCCCTTAGTAAATTTTACGGACGCCATCACGAGTTGGTTGACCGTTATAGAATAACCGTTTCACAGATGATATCGGATATGTTCCTTATGTCGTAACTACAATACCCTTCCCTTTTCACGAATGTGACCTACCGAATTAGACTGTTTACCCGATTTGTAATAACATAAGCAACACGACGGGTGCCACATGTGGAGCAGGATCTGCTTACCCTTCATGAGCACCTAAGATCACCCCCAGTTTTTGGTGGGGTTCGTGTTGCTTAGTCATGTTAGTTTTTAGTTTTCTATGTTGTGTCATCTGTACTATTATTTGTCTGTTTGTCTTTTTATTTTTGGCCATGGTGTTGTCAGTTTGTTTTCGATCGATGAGTTTGACTGTCCCTCTGGTATCTTTCGTCCCTCTTTTAAATTTACCGTTTGCTTTGTTGTGAAAATCCATGGATGGTATACACCAATCTCTGGATCTAAAGGCAGCGCTCTAACCAATTGAGCCAAAGAAGATCTTCTCTAACTCAACCAGTTAGACTCTCTTTATATCTCCAGGTCTACAACACTCTTCCCCTTTTCTTTTTTCGGGGTGTGTACCATCCATCCTAGCAGCTCACAGGTCCATTACTGTACATCCCTGAGTCTTTCACCCGGACACCTCTGGCTAGTTCCCTGCATGTCACCCAGACATGTAACGGTCTTCCAATGACCTGGTCAAACCTTATGACCAAATCAAACTGCCAGGCACTTTCATACACTCATGTGTACCAGTAGTAGATGCTTGCAGCGCCAATGGCAATGTTGTGAAAATCCATGGATGGTACCAGCAGGATTCAAACACTCGATCTCGGGATCTAAAAGCAGTGCTCTAAAAGAAGATCTTCCCTAGCCCAACCAGTTAGACTACAGTGTACCTTTATATTTCCAGGTCTACAACACCTCTTTGGGATTCTGAGTCAGTAGCGATTTTCTGATTAGGCTGCCTCAGATATTATCCTTGAACATTTTTTTAGGCGACATGTATACATAAAATTATATTTTTCTAATGTCATGTGTCATTTTCATGGCCTTCTTTTGATTTAGGTATCACTTCAAATGTTCTCCATGATGAGGGTTATGTTCCTGATGTTTAGCATGTTTAGAGTGAGTCTAAAAAGGGTCTTAGTGTGATTCGGGATTGGCTGATTTTTTTGTAAGCGTGACACGTGAAAGTCAAATTATTTTGTGTGAAAACGGAAAACAAAGTTGGCCGGGACACTTTAAACTACAAACATTATTATTCCAATGATAAGCTGGATACGCGAATCTGACAAAACAATAAGTGGGATCTGGGATCAGTCTCCCCCTGCCCAATGACACCCCCTGTAGATTTAGTCGAGGAGGATATATATATATATATCTCCTTTATCGTAAAGTGCTAAATGCCCCCTTTTAACAACTGGTAGCATCAAATGAGACTAAGACTCCACAAATACATTACAGTAATTAAATAATTAGACATGCAAAGAAATGATTACAGTTAATTTTCTATTGGTACTTATTGTGTTTGCTTTTGACATGTTTGAGAGAAAGTACATGTTTATAGTCAAATGACTGGTAGTCCAATGGGGACTAACTATTTCAACCTTTTCTCAGATATATCATGATTCTTAAAACCACATTTTTGAGTTACTGTTTAGTGTTAGTGTCAAAAGGAGTAAAATATTTATTGTTGATGTAAATATTTTTAAACAGAAATTACTTTTCATTTGTCCTGTTTGGAACCCCAGTTCTTCAGAGATCTGTATGGGATAGTAGGGGCAGATCTAGGATACTTGAAAGTGGGTTATAATTCTAAAAAAATTATAATTATTTTTCGACGATTTTATTCTAAAAATTATATTTTTTCCAATTAAAGGGGGGACGCCCTCTACGCTCCCCGAATCCACTACTAGTTGGGACTCCTAAAGTAAAAGAAATATCTTCTCTAATTCAGACACCTCCTCCAGAACCAGACAAAGAAGAAGAGAAAAAAGAAAAGGATGAGAATGAGACAGATGAAGATCTAGAAGTAACAGAAGAAAACACATTAGGCCAGTCCGACAAGAAAACAGACGAGGTTAAAGGTAAATATCTTCAGAATTTATGTCATTTTAATTTATAGTTTCAAATTGAAAAAAAAAAATCAATTGCATATGCACATGATGAAGATATTCTTCAATAAATTTATTTACTCACTTGTACATAGCCTTGCTACACCATATGGGTTTGCTCATTGTTGAAGGAAGTATGGTGACATAATTGCTAACTTCTACTTCGTTTTGTCTCTGGTGGAGAGGTGTCTCATTGGCAATCATACTACATCTTCTTGTTTTTATAATGGCTGGGATGTATTTCATGATAACAGTTGTCCTTTTAAACTTGTCACTAAAATCCCTCATGATAATCTGATAATCTTGTATGAATTTTAAAACATGGTAAAAGAATTTTGGAATTAGCATAAATGAATCACTGACAGTCATGACAGTAACTTTAATGAATGAAATATGCATTGAGTTGTGAGTTGATATTACTTGCTTCATCTGTAAATGTTGTAGAGTTCTTCATTGTCCTATTTGTAGAAAACAAAATGCAACTTAAAAAAATGCACTCAAAACTGCTCATTGCTTGTTCATGTTGTTTGTCCTGGATATATTTGAATCAAAAGTTACTTTTCTAAAATGGAAAAAATAAGAGTGAATTTTAATTCTAATGCAATTATTTTGTATCCATGGTTCTGATTGGATGATAATAAGCGTAACATTCTCTATCTCCCGACATGTTGAATATCGGAATGTATTGACCTGTAATTTCTCCAATAATAAGCAAAAAAACTCACATTTTGCACGTAGAAATCATCTTCTTATCAAATTTTATTACATTCTGAAGCGGACAAGAAGCCAGAAAACGCCAGGTGTTTACATTTGATGCCGGAAGCATACCTATGACGTCACCTAGTTTAGGCGCCAAAGAATATAACATCATTTCGCGGAATTTTCATTAAATGAAACTTTATCACTGAAATAATGACTAAAATTGAATGATTTGTTAATTTTGCATTAGAATAGACATGATAGAGATAACTGTATTGTATTTGAAGCTTTGCTACTCGTCGTCAGGTAGACAAAATTTGCGACAGTAAAACCACCGATGGACGTCCGCAAAGCTTCAAATACAATACAGTTATCTCTAAATTAAACTGAAAATAATTTACAAAATTAGAAAATAAGGGAATGTGGTATGATTGCAAATGAGACAACTATCCACCAAAGTTCAAATGAAGTGGATGTAAGCAATACTGTATAATGGCAAACGTACGGCATTCAAGAATGAGAAAAACCAATACTGTATAGTCGGAGAATGAAAGGCCCTGACAAGAAAAATATGAAACAATTCAATTGACAAAACTAAAGTTGATTATTGATAAATATAAAAATAAGAAGATGTGGTATAATTGCTAATGAGACAACTCTCCAACAGAGACCAAATGACATAGAAGTTAACAGCTATAGGTCACCATATGGCCTTCAACAATGAGCAAACCCACACTGCATAGTCAGCTATAAAAGGCCCTGAAATGACAGATGTAAAACAATTCAAATGAGAAAACTAATGGCCTGATTTATCATGTTTATGTTAAAACAATGAACGAAATACAAATATGATATACAGCAACAAACGACAACCGCTGAATTACAGGCTCTTGACTTGGGACAGGCAAATACAGAATGTGGCGAAGTTAAACATGTTAGAAGGCGCCCAACCCTCCCCTAACCTGGGACAGTGGTGTAACAGTACAACAAACTATAAAAATCAGTTGATAAGTCTAACACATATGGTTTGGAAGGGCCCAACTGGTCTTTTGACAACCGATATACTCTTCATGTATACATGACATTAAAGAGTTTGGAAGGGCCCAACTGGTCTTTTGACAACTGATATACTCTTCATGTATACATGACATTAAAGAATAGAGAATATTACAATTGAGATGCATAAATATAAAGAATAGATAGTAATATTAATTGGTTAAAAAATGAAGAAAACAAAATTTGGCCTAAAAAATTAAAAATATGTACAGTAAAGAAAACCACCATCCAGACCCTTATATATATGTATATGTATGGTAACTAGCATCTAACATTGGTATTAAACAATTTATCTAACAATTGCAATCTATATGATCTTTAAAATTCTAAGTGGTCTCCAAATAACATTGATTGTGAATACATGTATACAATTGACAGTACCAATTTTACTGCACCAGATGCACATTTTGACAATAAATGTCTCGTTAGTGATGCTTGAGGCCAAAATATTTGAAAGCCAAAAACATTAAAGTGCTGATAAAACCAAAAAAGGACCAAACCCGTACAAACAAGGAATTATTTGAATCTGGAATAATTTTGAATTCTGGAAAATTGATTAGAAATCAGAGCTCCAGATAAGAATTCAAAAATTGGGGTTTTACCCACCATTTTTTTTGGTAATTGGGTGATAAAGTTTTTTAATTGCATTATCAATTCCTATTCACCCCTCAAGCAAATATCAAATTGGGTTTTTCACCACCAAGCTCCTTAATGTATTGGGTTTTTTCATCAACACAATATTGAATATTTAGGCATGTTATAATCACATTATATCAACCCCAGATGTGTTTCCATCCTAAATGTGTTTCTTTCTTTGTATATGTGCTTAGCTGTTTTATTTGGTTTATTCACTGACGAGCAATTGTACGTTTAATTTGTGTCCCGTTTTAAACGTTCTGTCAGTTTTGTATTTTCTCAAAACTTATGTAAACTGCAGCTGGTGTCACTAGTTGGACAGTAACTAATTGCCTTTCTAGATCCCATATGATCACCCTACAGTTTATAGTTGGGGTAGGTGTTGCTAAGTGTTTAGATTTTTATGTAATATATGTGAAATTTAGGTGCTGTAAGAAAGTTTTGCCAGTCCTTTCACCTATTTGCCAGATCTACTTTTTAATAAAAATAAAAAGTAGTTCCCAGATTTAAGATATACCCCAAAACCTTGAGATTTATAGGGTGGTTTAATGAGGGAGACCACATTCAACTTAAATTTACAAATAATTCTGCAACATCAAGTAAATAAATGACAATGTTATACTGCACTTGCCAATAAGACAACTATCTTAAGCATCCAGAACAATTAAACCAAAACAAAGAAAGTGTCAAGCTGCATAATTTGACGTAAAAAACGGATATGTGTATTCATTCATCAACTAAAATGAAAAAAATAATATATAAACTGTTTTTGTTTAATTCAATTTACATAAATCTGGGTTAAGTTGTCCCTTATCAGAACTTTTGGTTTCCGATGCTTTCCAACTACATATCATCAAGGAATTCCTTGATATCATGTCATAATTGATTTGGCCTGTCACTTTTTCCAACTGATTTCGTTTTTGACGAAACCCCGTGTTTATCGTTCTATAGCAATGTTCTCGTTAAGGTACGCAAACACGCCCGTGCGTTCAATGGACGCTTCCTAAAATCACTAGCTGAGTCTTGTTATCATCATAATTTTCCCTCAGCTATCAAAAAGAAGCCGAAAACATGCTTCTATTCAATATTTTTATCGGACATTTACTTTCGTTTTAATTCATTGTATGTTATGATAAATCCCGAGCAATTCGAAAAAAATATGATAGCATGTCACACGCTAATTTGATAAACGCCGAGAAGATCGAAATGTTTTCATAAACACGTGTACCTTTTGAGCAATGGAAAATTCCAACAGGGACCCATTACAGCTACTTGATGCAGGGCTCTATTTTAAGAACGAAAGGACATTTCCAATTAACAATATTATAAAAATAGATTTACGCGACGACTGTATTCAGATAAGGGTAAATAACGCAAACGATAGCGAATAAAAGCGTTAAGAACTCATGGTTTTGGCATATAATTGGGTTTTCCTTTGAATTAATTGGGTTATTGAACCCTGCAATGGGCAATTGCATTGGGTTTTTAATTATTTGTATTGCGTGATCACGCAAATACGCAGCTTATCTGGAGCTCTGTAGAAATGTATGATGAAAACTAACCCAACTAAATAGGGTTAGCCATGCGTGCATGGCTAAGGTTAATTTTACTTTCACTATCATTTCAGTATGAACTAACTAACCCACCTTAGCCATGCGCGCATTGCTAACCCTATTTAGTTGGGTTAGTTTTCATCATATATTTCTCATCAATTTTCCAGAATTCAAAATTATTCCAGATTCAAATAATTCCTTGTTTACAACGAATCAGAGCTATTATCATATGCATGGGGGAAATACATTCCTGAATTCAAAATGATTTCAAAATAATATACATTGTAACTATGAAAATGTTTTAAGATAGTTTACCATGAAATTGTTATCACACATTTCACATGAAGCTTAGTACATATTTTAAAATTTAGTCTATTACCATGTGATTATCATGATTATCATGATCATGATGATTATGTTTAGTCCATTATCATGTGACTATCATGATTATGATATGAAATTTTTGAAATATATGCCAATTTTCATTAAATTTGATGTTTTATAGAAGAAATCCCACAGGCAAACATTGTATGGAGAATGTCATCGGGAGTTTACAATACAGCTACTGGTGCGGTGGGAATGGGTGTAGGTGGAGTCAAGTGGGTAGCTGGTAAAAGTTATGACGTTGGATCTACAGTTGTTAGCAATGTTAAAGTACCAAAATTATCAAGTTTCAGAAGAAAAGACAAAAAAGAATAGAATTGGTTATTTAATAGTTTTATATATACACTATTTTCCTGCCATATTTACAATCAGTATTATAATTATCAATGAGGTGTAATATCATTAGAAAAAGCAATGCAATTTTTGTTATTAAGTAGTGTTCTTGCCATAACTTTATTTTTATTCAGTATTTTAATTGTTTTGAAATCCATTTTGAAAGAAAGTAAAGTGTCCTCAAATTATGACTTCTCAGATATATTTTACGTATGCAAGTCCAAGGTCCAATACCTTTTAATTTATTTTTATAAAGCTTTAAGGAATTTTCATTGGTAAACTTAAAGTCTGAAAGACCTTTTTAATAATTTAAGTAAAATAATACATGTTTTGTTCGATTTACATGTGTATTATTTGTAATTGATTCTATGCTGTGACTCATATTATGGATTTTTTTCATTTCCATATGTCAACATTGGGAGTGGGCATAGAATGAGAAAAGTCTCTAGATGGTCCCCAATCGTCACTCTTCCCCCTTGTGGAGTAGACGTACCATTTTTGTTTCTTAAGTCATTAAAATTGAACATACAATACCTTTTTAAAAATGAGTAAAGCATTTGTATTTCAATTCAATGCAAAATTTGAGGTTCATTTTGAGTACCTATTGATTGTGAGTAGGTGGAAATGTAAAAATCCTCATGATCTGAAGCATAGAACATCTGCCACTCATCATCAATTACAAATAATACACACATAAATCTAACAAAAAGTGTATGAGGGTCTAGATGGGGTTTACAGAATAGAGAATAATTGGTCCAAAAAAATAGAGAAAATTGGCCAAAGAATATAGAATAGAGAACAGTAAGGTGCTAAAATATAAAGAATAGAGAATAATGGGCTCGAATGAATAAAGAATATAGAAAAATAGCCTAAAAAATTTATAATATACAGATATGAGGACCCCTTGTGTATGTTGTCATTAGAAACTGAGCTGAATGAGTTACATCTTCCCTTATAATCCATACATTTGTTTATCACTTGATCTAATCTCATTTTACACACACCTGGCCTTTCTCAAAGATGCTGTACCAAGTACTTTTACTCTTTTACATAACTAAAAAGTATCATCTGCATTGCTGAATTTTTTATGTAATTAAGGTATTCATAAAAAGTGTAGGAATAAAAACTTGTCTAAAAGTGTGAAATAAAAAGGAATTGGTAAAGAATTTTTAGTGGAGGTCTGTTTAAATTAAATTACTTTACTCTACCCCTTCCCCTGAAAAATAGAACAAATGAATAACGACTGTCATATTGCTGCCTTGTTAAAAACTTTTTAAAAAATAGGTGTTTGGGATAGACCTGTTTTACCATCTTGTCCAAATGTCTCACTTGTGGTATGATAAGTCATTCATGGTTCCTTACATTTCAAACTCTTCAAGACAATACAAAAATTACAATGCATACAGTACACAGACTTTCGAATGTTGTAATATAGTAACAAAAAGTTATATGAATCTAGAAAATACTTGTAATTTGTTAGCATGTAAATTCAACATTATTGTTTATGGTCAATATTTACATATTAAACTGATGAAGTACATGTAGTAATTACAATTAATGGTGAAAAAAGTCATTCAACTTTTATTGTCAAGATCGATTGATTTATTCTGTGTTCCATGAACTCAACTTTATTAACCAAAGAAAATTTGTTTAATGGACAATAAAAGACAATCAGAGTCAAATATATGCTTTGGATTCTACAACTTTTGCTTAAAATATAAAAACTACAACAAAAAAAGAATTGATTTAAATATATTTTTAGGAAGTTAATATAATAATAAACAGTTGACATTCAACATAACGTATACCATTTTCCAGTTCAGAGAAATTGTTGGCTCACAAAACCATTCTCTTAATTTAGTATTTAAAAAACAATAAAGATTTTTAAATAACAATTTAAATCAGGTTCTTATTCATTTTCATTCAACTTGTAATACAGATCCTGTGTCTGTGCTTCCCTTACAAGGATATAACAGTACTTCTGTCTTAACACCTTTTGCAGATCTCTGAATTTGTAGTAATGATACACGACTTCAAAAATTGGAAGGTTGAAATTTCATTGGCTGATGTAAGAATTACCAGAACAAAAACATTTTGAAAAGTAAAATGAAGTGTTCTCAGATCCTGCTAAGCAAAGAATTCAGAGCTCCAGATAAGCTGCGTATTTGCATGATCACGCAATAAAAATAATTAAAAACCCAATGCAATTGCCCATTGCAGGGTTCAATAACCCAATTAATTCAAAGGAAAACCCAATTATATGCCAAAAACATGGGTTCTTAACCCCTTTTTTCGCTATCGTTTGCGTTATTTACCCTTACTTGATTACAGTCGTCGCGTAAATCTATTTTTATAATATTTATAATTGGAAATGTCCTTTCGTTCTAAAAATAGAGCCCTGCATCAAGTAGCTGTAATGGGTCCCTGTTGGAATTTTCCGTTGCTCAAAAGGTACACGTGTTTATGAAAACATTTCGATCTTCTCGGCGTTTATCCAATTAGCGTGTGACATGCTGTCATATTTTTTCGAATTGCTCGGGCATTATCATAACATACAATGAATTAAAACGAAAGTAAATGTCCGGTAAAAATATCTAATAGAAGCATGTTTTCGGCTTCTTTTTGATAGCTGAGGGAAAGTTATGATGATAACAAGACTCAGCTAGTGATTTTAGGAAGCGGCAATTGAACGCACGGGCGTGTTTGCGTACCATAACGAGAACATTGCTAGAGCGATAAACACGGGGTTCCGTCAAAAAAGAAATCAGTTGGAAAAAGTGAAAGGCCAAATCAATTATGACATGATATGTAGTTTGAAAGCATCGGAAACCACAAGTTCTGATAAGGGACAACTTAACCCAGATTTATGTAAATTGAATTAAACGAAAACAGTTTATATATTATTTTTTTCATTTTAGTTGATGAGTGAATACACATATCCGTTTTTTACGTCAATGCAGCTTGACACTTTCTTTGTTTTTGGTCTAATTGTTCTAGATGCTTAAGATAGTTGTCTTATTGGCAAGTGCAGTATAACATTGTCATTTATTTACTTGATGTTGCAGAATTATTTGTAAATTTAAGTTGAATGTGGTCTCCGTCATTATAAACCACCCTATAAACCTCAAGGTTTTGGGGGTATATCTTAAATCTGGAAACTACTTTTTATTTTTATTAAAAAGTAGATCTGGCAAATAGGTGAAAGGACTGGCAAAACTTTCTTACAGCACCTAAATTTCACATATATTACACAAAAATCTAAACACTTAGCCACACCTACCCCAACTATAATTAAACTGTAGGATGATCATATGGGATCTAGAAAGGCAATTAGTTCCTGTCCAACTAGTGACACCAGCTGCAGTTTACATAAGTTTTGAGAAAATACAAAACTGACAGAACGTTCAAAACGGTACACAAATTAAATGTACAATTGCTCGTCAGTGAATAAACCAAATAAAACAGCTAGCACATATTCTACAAAGAAAGAAACATTAAGATGGAAACACATCTGGGGTTGATATAATGTGATTATAACATGCCTGAATATTCAATATTGTGTTGATGAAAAGACCCATTACATTAAGGAGCTTGGTGGTGAAAAACCCAATTTGATATTTGCTTGAGGGGTGAATTGGAATTGATAATGCAATTAAAAAACTTTATCACCCAATTACATAAAAAAATGGTGGGTAAAAACCCCAATTTGTGAATTCTTATCTGGAGCTATGAGAATGGAAACATAATCTGTTTAATTGGACTAGTTCATTCTTATTTAACAAGAGTGTAAAAAGCTTAGCTATATATATGTTCAAAAAGAAGGATACAATTATACTGAATCAATGTAGATCAATCCAAGTTCAATTTTCTGAAATGAAATAAGTACATGTACTTATGGGCAAGTTGTACATTCTTCTAACGAAGGTTTACCATGGTATATCATATTGTTGTGTTTATTTTACCTTTACTTAATAATTATTTTTATGCTGTGTCAGAATGATCTTTACATAGAAATTTGTCAAGTTTTTATGAAACCTTCTAAAGAAAATAGTCCTTAGATTTGCTATTTTTACAATACTAATCTTCATATATATGCGCAAGAAAAAAAAAATCATTTTCATATTTATAAATATAACTGGATAGCTAAAACATTAACGGTTGATGTTTATTCATTTGTTTAATAACATTTTGCAGGAATGAGAATGAAACTCAGTACATTGTGTTATATATAGACTTGGGTGTATTTAAATTTCAAAACTAAGAAGTAAAAGCTTACTTAGCATTTTAAATACATATATTTGTAATTAACCTGTTGAGAGTAGAGACATAATGTACCATTAGAGTGTCTGTGGTTTTCGTAATGATTTTTGGCAAGGAAGATTTGAGATTCTTAACAGATTATCTGCCTAAATGTTTTTTTTTTGGTGTGTGATGGCATCAAGCATGGTCACATTTTTTATGAGGTCATTATGTTAAAAGCAGTAAAGGACTAATTTGAACTGAATTTGGACGAATTGAAGAAACTGAGAATAATAACGTGCACATTTATTTTTAAATAAACCAAAGATGGGGAAAAGTTGTAAATACTCTTGAGGAACAGACAATTGTCAATGTGTAAATTTACTAAATGTTTGTAATTAGGATGAAAAATGTAAATGTAATACCATTTAAAATGCATGAAAAATAGAATGTTGTAGTGTTTGAAAAAAGGAAAATGACTTTGTTTGCTGGTACATAGTGCTTTTAGAATAATCATTGTAATCTACATATGTACATTATTTTTATGGTCTGAAATTTGCATTTGAATACATAAGAATTGTGTTGTTAAAATGTAAAATAAATGTGCAATTGTAATTTAAAGAAAATAGAAGTTGAATTTACTATCAGTGTATCATATAAATTTCTGTATGTATCATTGATCATTTTTGATGTAGTTTTCCATATAAAAATATTTTCATTTAATGGAGAAATTTAAAAATCAGTATAAATAATAAGTTGATATTTTTTTATTAAATTATGAAAAGTTGTCATTTCATTTTACTTTCCCATTCATAAATTTGAATTGATCAAGCTAACCATTAGTGTTAATTTTTCAAAGTAAATCATTAAAACACATATATTTTATTGCCATTATCATTTTAATATTGATATAGCATAAAAGTAATTATTTTCATTCTATATCGGGTACTCGTTTTTAGCGGTCGTATATTGGTATGACGTTGGAGTCGTCGCACATTGGTTTTCACACTCTAACTTAAGTTTAAGTAAATGGATCTCTATGAAATTTATCATAAGGTTCAATACTACAAAAGGAAGGTGGGGATTGATTTTGGGGGTTATGGTACCAACAGTTAAGGAACTAGGGGCCAAAAAGGGGCCAAAAATAAGCATTTTTGTAACTTCCAGACATAACTTCTGTGTTAGTGTATGGATCAATCTCTCTGACATTGTACCACAAGGTTCCATATCACAAAGGGAATGCTGGGATTGATTTTGGGGGTAATTGCCTCCAAATTTTAGGAATTAGGGGCAAAAAACAAGCATTTTTCTAGTTTCATGACAATAACTTGTGTGTAAGTGTATGGATCTCTCTGACATTGTACTACAAGGTTCCATATCACAAAGGGAATGCTGGGATTGATTTTGGGGGTAATTGCCCAAAACATTTAGGAATTAGGGGCCCAAAAGGGGCAAAAAACAAACATTTTTCTAGTTTCATGACAATAACTTGTGTGTAAGTGTATGGATCTTTATGAAATTGTACTACAAGATTCCATATCACAAAGGGAGAGCTGGAATTGAGTTTGGGGGTAATTGCCCAAAACGTTTAGGAATAAGGGGCCAAAAATAAGCATTTTTCTAGTTTCCAGACAATAACTTGTGTTCAAGTGTATGGATCTCTCTGAAATTGTACTGCAAGGTACCATACTACAAAGGGAAGGCTGGGATTGATTTTTGGGGTAATTGTCTCAAAATTTTAGGAATTAGGGGCCATAAAGGGGCAAAAAAACAAGCATTTTTCTAGTTTCTAATTTCTATCTGAAATTATACTGCAAGGTACCATACCACAAAGGGAAGGCTGGAATTGAGTTTGGAGGTGATGAATCATAAGGAGGTTCAAAAAATTTGGAGGAGGGATTTTTTTCCCTTTTTTTTCCTTTTTTCTTTCTTTAAAATTTTCCATCTTAAATTGGTTATTTCTGATTTATATATAAAAGCAAATAATAATGATATTGTTTGAATAGGTAAATTAAAAATTTGTTTAAGTCCTTCGACCACATTCATTCTGTGTCAGAAACCTATGCTGTGTCAAATATTTAATTACAATCCAAATTCAGTGCTGTATCAAGCTTGAATGTTGTGTCCATACTTGCCCCAACTGTTCAGGGTTCGACCTCTGCGGTCGTATCAAGCTGTGCCCCAGCGAGCATTTAATTTCATTAGTTGAAGACTTATGCATGAAAAAAAGGCTCCCTAAAAATTATGTCTATGTAACATTATTTGGTGAAATGGAGGAAATAAATACCTACATGTATGCATTTGAGTGGAATACAGAACTGAAAATTTGATTCTATGAAAATAATGTATTTACCACATCATCAGTAGAAGGTGCTTATGAATCATAATTATGAGAATGTAATATTGTTTGTGGATTAGTTGGTTTTTTTTATTATACATTTTGAAAATACATGTTTAGATATTTTGGAAATGCAGATTTTCAATTGATTTTTTTGTCTTGAAGTGTATATCAGTAAAAAGAATAAATCCATAATTTACAAAGGAGCACTAGCTGTTATTAAAAAAAAAATTGTTGATTGTGCCGGTATGTCTTGTAATTTGTAAGTTTTTACTATATCATTGTGCAAAGTCCCATATAGTCATATACAGTACTAACATTGTGGATTTAGCATTTTCCACCATTGTGTCATGGCAATGTAATCGTTCCACTGTTTGGCATGGAAGTAGGTCTTTCTAATTTGTT